GATCAAGAGGTTTTGGATTCATTCTCTTCAAAGAAGCAACAAGTGTTGATAAGGTGAGTGATAGACTGAGATACTTAGACTACTAATGTTACAAATGTTCTGTCGTTCTGATTTGTTGAACTGCTTTGTAGGTTTTGGAGCAAAAAGAACACAAATTAGATGGAAGAGTGATTGACCCTAAGAAAGCAATGGCAATGAAAAAGGATCCTGTGAAGAAAATATTTGTTGGTGGACTTAACCCAGAAGCAACAGAAGACAAAATCAGGGAATATTTTGGAGAGTTTGGAGAGGTATATAATCTGATGCAAGTTTAGATAGGCTAGCTTTAACCTGAAAATAGTAAAGCAAATTGTTTTAATCCACAGTAATTGTAAGTAGAAATATGGGGTATATTACCCAGAGATTGATTGTTACTCAGTACACCAGGTGTCCAGTATACATACGTATTTATATGCTTGTATTTCAGTTAAATTAGAATTGGTTACATCATGGTGTTTCTTAAATGGTTGACAAATCATGTAGCCTGCATACCACATATCTATTTTTGTATTGATTTCTGTGTATTTCCTTGTAACTGATTTTTTTAAGCAAATTTATAGTAAATGGTTTGAATAGGCTTTAATTGTTTAGAGCACCAAATGGTCATCTTACATGAAATTTGCAAATTATTATACAAATCATAATTGTAGAGCAATAATAGTTTGGATTTGTTATATTTATTAATATAGCTTTATCTACTAAGTTCCTGGTACTTTGATAATTGTAGTTTTTAACACAAGACAGTTATACCCTGAAGAAATAGAGATTGACCAGAATTACTGAATAAGTTAATGTAGTATATAATTCCAGTGAACTTGAAATACTATGTTTCTTTAGATTGAAGCTATTGAACTTCCAATGGATCCAAAGACGAATAAAAGAAGAGGGTTTGTATTCATCACATTTAAGGAAGAAGAACCTGTGAAGAAAATTTTAGAGAAAAAATTCCACAATGTCAGTGGTAGTAAGGTAGGAATGCTGCTTATTGTACAGTGGATTGGAATCTATTCACTCCCTATAACTTGCACATAGTTGGAAGGCGAAAAGTAAGAGAATTACACAAAGTTTATTTTGAATATGGAAACTATATAGGAAACAGACTAAATGAGCATAGTATATCTACTGAATAATTTTTTAGCCACAAGATCTATGTTTTTGCATTACAGAATTAGAAACAACATGCAGATTATTTTAATTCCCTTTGCATAATCAAAGATTTGAAGTAACATCAGTAATTGTGGATGGTATTACAGTGTCCTTTTTTTTTTTTCCCAGAAGTGAGGGCTAACTGTTTCTAGACAATATTAAACTTATATGCTTCCTATTTCACTTTGAAAAATGATTCATAATTTTCATTACATTATCCCAAACAAGTTTTAGTTAATAGCTAAATATAATTTGAGAAATATGTAAAGCCTATCATTAAATATAATTTGACATAGTTTGTTCCACAAATTAGTGAAAAACAGGGCTAGTTTGATGTATGAAAGTAGTATATTAGTTAATTTACATTTTCATGGAAAACCCATTTCGTCTCAGACCTAGAAGCTATAGCTAGAAGATATAGATTCTGTTATTCCCACAAAAGGAATATTGGCGTGGAAATAATTTAGGCAGGAAGGGTAGAATGCATAGGCACACAAGTTGCGTGTGTGTGTGTATATATATATATATATACACACACACACACATACATACACATACACACATATACACCTACATATATGTGTGTGTGTGTGGGTCTTTGGTTATTCGGGTTTTCTCCCACGTCAAATTGGAAGTGTCCTGGTGACATTTCGACGAAGTCTCATTCGTCATCTTCAGGCTGGTGTCTTCGGTTTCGTGCTTCTAGGAGCCGAAGACACCAGCTTGAAGATGACAAATGAGACTTCATCGAAACGTCGCCAAGACACTTCCAATTTGACACGGGAGAAAACCCGAATAAGACCTACATACAAACACCCGCGAAAACCTCAAACACACACACACACATACACACACACACAAATACACACAAATAATGCTAGTGTGCTGTTATTTGAATGTCTGTCAAATAGCCTGGGTCAGCTAGGTAATCTACAACATAACAGCCTTTTACAGCATCCAGAACTTGTGACATGATGCTTGATTTTTAGTTTTCTTTCCTTTTTGTTCATAAAGAGAAACCAAAACAGCAAACTAGGGCAAAAATATTTATCTTACCAATGTGATATCATTGGAAATAATCGATGTTGCCCTTAAAGTCACTCTTTAAAATGCAGTCGCTTTCAAAACAGAAACTATCTTTATTTTGTTACTTTCTCTATGGTTATTGCCCTGAATTAGGAATATAGCTAGAAGGATAAACAACGAACAGAATAAGTAAATTCTATTAACTTTTATTTATTAATTTGCCTAGATCCTGTGATAGTAAGGTAGGAAGTTGCTTGATTAGAATATGGACTACTTGAAGAAGAAGGATATAAAGCAAAATACAAATAGTGGTAGAATGTGGAAGTATATTTTAAGAGCAGAGCTTATAGTGGGGGAGCTAGAGTGCTAGAACTTTAGATGTTGCCAAACTTCAACTGCCAATAACTCCAATAATCATGAAAATGATGAGGGATGGTGAATGTTATAATTCAACAATATTTGGGAGGCGCATGTTGCCCTGCTTTGGATTATAGTCAATGTCTAATGGTTTAAAACGCATGTGCTTGGCATTTATAGCATTATCAGATGAAAAATAGGTGTATACAGGTAATCGTTGACTAAGACCACAATTGGGGTTAGAATTTCATTTGCTAAGCAGTGTGCTTGTTAAGTGAGTTGTGCTGGTTTTTATGACCTTTTTGCCATAGTCAATGAATCAGATGTTCATTAAGTGAATCCATTTTCTCCCATTGACTGCTTCACATGACTCCCAAGATGCTGCAGCTGTCATAAATACATGGGTGTTGCCAAGTTCTTGAGTTTTAATCATATGAATGAAGATACTGTGATTGTCATATGTGTGAGGACCATTCCTAAATTACTTTTTTCAGTGCCATTGTAACTTCAAATGGTTCCAAAATGAATGGTTAAGTCGAGGACTATTGTACACTTTTGGCTATGTCAGGGATAGGCAACCTTGGCTCTTTTATGACTTGTGGACTTCAACTCCCAGAATTCCTGAATGGCCCCTGGGCTATGTTCATGTGATATATTTAGCCATAGTTAAACATATTTTGCTTAACCTGTTTCCTGGTGGCAGACAGTATATGGAAATTTAATAATTTAAACTGGGTTTATGCAGCATGAGAGATTAAAGTTCAGTTTTGAAAGAGGTACTGAGCTTATATTTTATAAATTCTAGTACAGTATTAACTTCTGTGCAGCAGAGGTTTTCTCTAGAATATTTGCCCTCAGATTTCATTATTTGGAAGTGTTTTTGTAATCCGGATATTTGAACATTTAAAACTTGTGATATGTATATGTAGTATTGTATGTTAAGAACATCTGTTTTACATTATGATCTTTTCAGTGTGAAATCAAGGTAGCACAGCCAAAAGAAATATATCAGCAGCAACAGTTTGGTTCTGGGGGCGGCCGAGGAAGAGGTGGAAGAAGAGGTATGTACATGCTCTAGTATGGACATATTCTAAAATACATGGTTTTCCAGGTGATTTTCCTTTCTATAGAATAAAGTGTTTTTGAATATAAAATGTGGCTGTCAAGACTATAATTATTCAGTATATGTATATTTTGGAGGGGGCTTGGCTATAGATACCTGCAAGTATGACTAAATACTAATTTAATGCATTTGGTTTCTTATTTATAGGTCAAGGCAGTTCAAATTATGGGAAGGCTCCAAGACGTGGTCATCAGAATAACTACAAGCCATATTGATCAAAAGTATTCAGGTATGCAGTGGCATGCTCTAATGCACAAAACTACTGCATATGTTTTGTACTTAATGCTGTAGATGGACATTACAATTATGTACCAAAATTAACTTTACAATACATTTCTATGGCCTGTTATGTGTATCTGAAGACTTCCCTGGAAATGTCTTTGTTTAATATTTACAGATAATAGTTGTCTAGAGAGTGTGGTGTGTAAATTTCAGCCTTGCTGAAGATTAATGATTTTATTGATAGGTTAAATTGAAATGATTTTGAGGGTCTGCTTAAAGCTGCAGCTTCTGCATCTAGGGACTGCCCGTTGGAGTTAACTATGTTATTCCAGTTGTACAGAATGAGATGCATCTTAGGGAACCAGTATCACTTTCCACCTTTTTATTTTGTATTGGTTTTGTGTCATACATTTCCTGTAATGGAAGTGTTAATTTTACTGTACTTTTTGGTACCTTTTTGGAATCTAATGTATTGTAAGGTATTTTACATGTGTTCTGATTCACCATGACATGGATATTGATGCTATTCTAGCTTTTGAATAAAAAAGCATAATACAGTATCCTGTGCCATTATTCCAGCTATTCTTTTGTAGCTCAGAAAAAAGAAGCCTTAGAATTTCATTAGAAATGCTGGTAGCTGGTTGGATGCGTAAATCTTAGAAACTGGATTTAGAGCATGTTTTAACCCTAAAATTGATGAAAGACCAGCAAAGCTTAATTGTTTAATCACAAATTCAAAGTATTGTTGAGGTAGGAAAAACCAGGAAGCAGAACAAGTATTATATTTCAGGAGAATCTTAGGATTAAGAATAGTATATTATTGTGTAGGAATAAAGGTCATAGGAATTTAGGAGTAAATTTGTAGAATTTAATACCTAAAATACTGAGGGGCTCAAGGCTGTATTTACACACACAAGACAATATTAGACATGCTTACACTATAGTCTGCTTTTTTGTATATGCAAGTTCAATTTAAATCTAAAAACATGCTCAATAACATATGTACAAAACTCCTGGATGCTTATGTAGTACACTCATTTGAAACTTCCCTAGGTTCATTGATCATACTTAAATCTGTCAATCTGACTGGCTTTTGTACTCTTATGTGTTTTATTAGTATTTAGAAATTAAACATTTCATGCTAAAATTATTAAGCAAATATTAAAGCTGCATAAACATTGGATTTTCAGTACTGTTTCCAAGTTTTTTTCAAACTATTTTATAGCTTCTTCCAAGCATATCCTGAGCTATTTTGTAGTTATATTTCGATTTTCAGTAGATAATAGCTGATAGCAGTCCTGCTGTCAAATATGGGTAAAGATTTTTAATGCACTATAAGTACATTACATTCTACATTTAAAGTTTCCAACAATATAGCTTATCTTAGCTAAGTATAAGCTCAGACATGGAGAGAAGAATATAATGCATTTTTATTTAGAATAAAAATTTCTTGCTTAAAGATATTAAAATGACAACTCTGTTTTAATGGAAGTTTTAATTACATGTTTAATAGCCATGATTAAAACTAGGTTTGGAAGAGGAAGTTGTCTCTGGAGAGACAACACAGTCACTTATCCATGGGATAAATAATTTGTTATGAACATACATTTTAATTGTATAATAAATATTAACCCCAAATTAGAACTCATTGTTTAAGATCATTTAACAACAGCTATGGATTGGCGCCAGTTATTTAATTTTTGACCATTTTTATATGGTAATCTGCATGGTTTGCTTGTCAGGGCACTTGAATAGTAACAAATAAGGCTTGAAAATAAAATGAGTTTTGCTTTTGACAGTTAAAAATACATAGTTTAGTCATGCTGAATTGTGTTCTCTGAGAAATTAAAAGGTTACGGAAAATATACCTAACTACTTACAAAGATGTCCACTATGATATGGGGAAATTATCAAGTCTTATTTGCTAGAATGTCAAATCCTACTAACTGAAGATGAATTAAATAGCTCTTCTGAAGGTGAAACTATTAACTACCGCACTCTAGAACTTATGAACTATAATGGTAGAAGTAGGCAACCTTACATCTGAGTTACCTCTGATCAGGAACTGCTAATCATTTAGATATAAAATGACTATTATGATATAGTTCAAAGTTTCTGACTATCACTAGTCAATTGGAGAGCCAGCAGTTCCTGAAAGAAATTTTCACATTTACAATAGAATTACAATTATCTGTCTTCTCCCTGGCTAAGAAACTTAAAAGATAGCAATTTTGTTCTCTGTAACAGATGTGACTGTGGGCTTTCCAACCTTACTCGCTTTTGAGTATTTTAATATTGTTTTCATCCTATGTGTTTTGTTTGCCCCAAAGAATGGAACAGTTTTATGACTGGTACAAATGTAGATAGTTGAATGCTAGTACTATATTTTGCATGTTTTGACAAGTAAGCCTATTTGTTATTAATGTACAGGGTAAAGGGGAATTGAAATTCTGTTAAGCATATTTTACCAAATTTTTAAAAATTACGTTTTCATTTGATTTAAGTCACAGGTCTTAGGATTTGAAACATTAGAGCTTGACATAGCAAACATAAAACAGGATTTTACAATAGAAAATGCATTTCGTAGTGAAATACTTAGATTTAGCTGTAGCTAAGAGAAGAAAGAAACTGCTTATGGAAAAATAAGAGGTACCAATCTGATACTGTTATGACTGAAAGAAACATAGCAAAACAATCTTTAGCAAAGGAATTTCATCTTAATGCTACAGAAAAACAGAAAGTTAATATCTTTGAAGATAATAGTCGTTAGGCTGTCCTTAGAAAATGGCTTGCTTTTCATCTGTTACAACATTTTTGGTATAAATACTTCTTGATCTATCAGCTTCTTAAAATAAAAATTCCCCTTTATTCCTGAATTACTGTAATGGGAAAGCTATCCTTTCCAAATAAAAATAGGTTATCCATGTTGGTGACATACTGATTTTCTTTAGTAAATAAAACATTTTTATGAGATGCTAAAAAAAATCTTACAAAAAAACCAATTCTCATGAGTGTAATGTTTGGGTGTTTACTAAATAATGGATTCCTACTGATTTGTTAATAAAACGTTATGAAGAAAACAGACTTATTGGATCAAAGGTGATAATTGTGAAATATAAATATAAATAAGAATATATATAGTCCTGTAACCTGTATAGCACAAGGATGACAAGTTATATTTTCTTGATAAATTACATTTTCCTCTCTACTATATTAAAAGTTGCATTAGTGGAGATAATAGCAATAGAGCTTTGAAAAATCGGAGCTCTATTGCTAAAAATGTCAGCAATACAACAAAACTACATAGACTGGATTATGAAAGCTTGAAGAAGTCAGAATTTTATTATTGTAGTTTAAGTGTAGAAAAATGGTAAAATTCTGCACCATGCCTGTATCCTGTAAAAGATGAATGAAAGAATTCAGTATTCACATGGGAAAGCCAGCAAATTAAATTTTTCATAATTTATGTTTGACACGCTGCTGTTGACTATATATTGTTGGAATATGATTTGATACATAGTATCTATTCAGGATAATGACATTAATGGCTTCTGCTTTTTGTATATAATAGTATGTGAATGCTTACCTCTTGTAGCCTTGGAAATCATCTTTAGGTTTTTCTTATCTCCAATTCTGCAGAATATTCAATTAGAATATGATTGTTGCCTACCCATTTTTCATAGGCCAGAATTAGTATTTACATATAATCAGGAATGAAAATCCTTCATTCCAGTGGCACAAAAATATTCCTAGTGGTCTTCTTGCTGATTCAGACTATATTTATTCTTACATCCTCCCTCCCCCAAAAATCTAAAATGGAAAATAGAATTGATTAAAGGTGACAATCATAAAGTTAAAAACTTTCTTCCATTTAGACCCATGCTTGTTTTTTCATTACAGTGATGTCTACTCTGGGAGAAAAAAAATAATTGGTGCTAATTGGTGCATTCTCAAAAGGAGAAAAGAATTTAGTAGGAAAGTCGTTCAGTATAGAAGAGCTTCCATGTAATTTTGCATATGTAAACTGTACATATAGAACAAAATACAATAATTTTAGTTTAACTGTCTCTTTCTAGAAAGAAATAGCTGAGAAAGAGGACTGGCAAATTCATTGATATTCTTAGAACAGGCTTTCAGACTGCAAAACCTTTGACATTATTGCTTATGTATAAAATGCTTTATTTATTTAGTTCAATCTGTAGCATACCAGATAGGCAATCTGTTATTTAAACCAATTTTAAAGAGCTTTCCTCTACTTACCTGTTAATATCATATCAAGTTTATCAACTACTGACTCTGCATCCTTTGTATTGAAACACAGTGGTGGCTTGAACTTAAGCACATTTCTGCCTGGCCCATCTGTGCTCAGCATAATGAATTCTTCCTTTAATCTAGAGAACCAAAAAAATAAAAAATAAAAACATGGCTGATTTTAGAAGGAGAAGTATAAGTTACCTACTTGGATTAGTATGGTCATATAAATCACATTTACAATGATATATGAGCTTTATCAATTTTTGGGCACAATGGGGATTTTGGTTATCACTTTTGGGCAGGATTTGGCATTTTTCTTTAAAACTGTAGACTTCCTGTCTGGAGTGCCACTCTCACACTGGCAGTGAGATCCTGCATGACCAAGAAGCTTAAATGTTCCAGAAATATTTTAAAGCTGGAGATGGAAAAATCATAAAGTCCCCTTTAAAGTTGCCTTACCTCATTAGGTAAGCACGGTTTTCAACATATTATGGCCTCTGTTACTGGAATGACAGAATCAGTCTGAAAGGATTAATTACTCTTTAAATGAAGGTAGGGTCAAGAATTTGCTTTTTTCCCCTTTGTGGGAGGAAACCCTCTTCAGTCTTGGTTCTGTCTCGAGACAAGGTGGATCTCATTCTGTGGAGATTCTCAGTCATCCAGATCACGGTTGTTCCAAAGATGCTTTTTCACGAGGCAACTGGACTTTTTTTCTCTTTGAAGACATTTTGCTTTTCATCCAAGAAGCTTTTTCAGCTTCTTGCACTACTCAGGTGACTCTGGTGATACAGATAATCTTCCAAGTGGCATCAGTGACTCTAAAAAATGCAAATGACCAGCTGTCTGCAAGGAATAAATCATTCCATTCCCCGCCATCCAGTCAGAGCTGAAGAAGCTTCTTGGATGAGAAGCGAAACATCTTCAAAGAGGAAAAAAAGAGTCCAGTTGCCTCAGGAAAAGGGTGGATTTTATTTCTTTATCAGCTTTAATAACAGCCAATAACAGGCAATGATATGTAGAGATGGAAAGAAAAGTAGACCAAATCTCAGAAAATGTTTGCTGCTCCCCCTCCTCTCACAAAAACCTACTAGCAAGCTAGCTGAGGAATAAGGCACACACATCAGAGTGAGCTCCTTCAGTAGTCTTGGGGAATGATTCTTATTTCAGCATAATCAGTACATTCAAGATACCAGAGAGTGGGATCTAGAACTGCAAGATCAATTGCATGTTGTGATCTGGTGCTAGTTAAACACAGATGTGGCTCACCTGTCCAAGGTCAGGTCACATACAAGCCCTTCCTGAGATGAAAACAATTTGGAAAGTTGCTCACACAAGTGCTGATAAAAAGCAAGTACAAAAATGTAGTACCAGATTACGTTTAGAGAAAATCCTTATCCAATTGTTATAGCAAAGATTGAGCAGTGCTGAAAATAGCTTGATGGCCCTGCTGTTTACAACCACTGTGACACATCCCTCTAAACTTATAGGAGAAAAGTCCAGCAGAAAAGATGCCTTCTAATAAGTTGATATGCATAGGATTCCACCAAAATCAAGCTGGCAGATTTAAGAGAGATTTTTTTACCATCTCCAGGATGTTCCAAGCCACAAGAATTAGCAAAAACATCAGAACCATAAAATGGATACCATCAAAGTAACACTTGTCAGGATTTTTTCCCATTTTATTCACAGTTCCCAAAAGGAATTGAGAGTAGAGAATGGTGTTGAATATTTAAGGGTCAGAATGAATTCATCAGGTTATGAAGCAGATTACAGCATGGGATATCCTGGAGTTGATTTCCTTAAGAAAAGCAGCAGCAAAAAGGATCAATGCAAATTTCCTGCTTCCAAGACAGAAGAGATTGAGGCTTTGTAACTTCCAGCTCTACTCTTATGTGTTCCTATCAACACTGACACATATCAGCAGCGAAGCAAACGACCTGGAAACCTTGCTGGAACTAAGTGATCGGGCCCAATAGTTGACATTCTTCCCTTAAGATGCCCAACTACTGTCAGAATCTACCAGTTGGGCTGGCAAGCCTTCCAGAGATGATGCAAGAAACACAAAATATCAAGCACCTAAGGTTTCATAGAAGGACTGAATAGGGACTGGCAGAGTCTATTGGTACAAACACCTTACTTCATCCACCTAGATCATCAGGAAAACCTTATCTTATTCTAGCTAGCAGAGGGTGCAGGCCTCTAGTGCAAATGGGACGCCTTTAAAGCGTCAGCTGGGTAACAACCGTTTCCCTCCAAAAATAAGACCAGGTCTTTTTTTTTTTTTGCCTCCAAAAGAGGCACCAGATCTTATTTGGGGGGGGGGGTCTTTTCCACTCACCTTGCGATGGCGGCACCAACAGCCCCACCCAGCCGGCCCACTTTTTCTGGGGCTAAAGGAGCAGCTTCATTCTGCAGCTGAGAATGGAACTTGGGCTTGCATTTCGCAGTCAGAGGCCATTCTGGAAGGCTTCTGACTGAAATGCAGCCCAGGGGACGCCACAGAAGTGGGCTGGCGACGAACGGCAAGTGTCGATTCATGGGAGGCCTGATAAGTGGGTATGGGGTGCATGGGGCAACTCTACCCCTCCCCATTGCCTGCCCTAGCTTGATTTTTAGGTGTGCGCCTCCCCAAAACTAGGGCCTTTTTTGGGGGGATAGGGCTTATATTAGGCCCTCCCAAAATCAATCTAGGGCTTATATTGGGGGTAGGTCTTACTTTCAGGTAAACACAGTACTCAGTGAAGGGAGTGGAGTTTTCAGTTGGAGAAGCATATTTTCATGGTCGATATCTTGATTGTAATGATTGAATGCAATTTTTGAAAAATTGGTCACAAAATATGAGATCACAGATTGAATGCAGTTCTTAGACTGGGAAAAGGGGTTCCCTGGATATAGGAAGGATGTTCTTTATTTTCTTACCCAAAGAGGTGTTAATTCCTTAATTCAAGATCCACTCTCGAAAGACCAAAAGAACACTAAATAAATCCATCCTACCCAATAATTCATCTCTCCCACCCCTTTCTTATATACGTCAGATCAGTATTTATTCTTTGAAAGTATATTATAGCTGTCCTTAACACATGGAAAACTGTAAAAGAGTTTGTTCTTTCCATAGTAGTAGAAGGATTTAAACAATGTAACAATCCTTGAATATTGAGTTAGTATATATAATCAAACTTCTGAGTTAGTATGTATAATCAAACTTACTAGCTGTTCTGTTGATAAATTCAACATTCATGTCTGAAAATATACCTAGGGCAGCTAGGGAGGAAATAGGGGGATGCAAACTCTGGTTTTCAGATACAGAACATTCTAGTGCAGCGGTTCTCAACCTGTGGGTCGTGACCCCATTTGGGGTCGAACGACCATTTCACGGGGGTCGCCAAACAACGCAGTCCGCCATTTTTTCCCCTTTTCCTTAGCTGTGCTACTCCCTTTTATTCTATTGGCTTTTGAAAGCCAATAGAATAGACTCTCTTGAATAGAGTCTAATTCTATTGGCTTTCAAAAGCCAATAGGAATTGTCCAGGCTGTCTCTGCCCTGCTGAGCCGCCAAAAGTCCCATTCTGCAAACGGTGCTGCAAGTTGTCTGCAGCGAAGGCGAGCTGTCTGGAAGTTTCCACCCCTCCCTGCTGAGCAACTACTAAAAATGTAAGTAAAAGAGGGCCAGGGGTGGGAGGTGGGAGGCCAGTGGGCGCAGGGAGGGTTGCTGGTGCGCGTGGGGCCCGGCGGGTGTCTTACCTCCCTTGGGCTGGGCCAGTTGGTGGCCCAGCCGGTGGTCGCCCTGCGCCGTCGCTGCCCTTTGCCACCCGCCTCGGCTGGTGCAGGGGGCGGCACCACGCATGCCTGGTGCTCCCGGGCAGAGAAAGTCCTCGACTTACGACCGGTTGGGCAGTCCTTGACTTACGACCGGTTGAGTAGTCTTCGACTTACGACCAGTTGGGGGTCGCGGCATTAAAAAGGTTGAGAACCACTGTTCTAGTGTTAACTAGTATACACCAGGCCATCTGTTCCAAAGGTACCTTATAAACTGCTAAAAGTAAATCTAATTCTCTTTTGGGGTCAGATCATGTCTTAAACATAGTGACCATTTTTTATTATTCAAGATTAAAAACTACTATTGGAACTGCCCGATTGATACATCCAAAGAGAAAAGCAGAATCTAGGGAAATCATAGTAACTTATTGTACATTGCATGTACAATTCTGCATACATAACGGAAAAGAGATGTGCAAACTGCTAAGTTCTCTATCTGTAATTCACTTGTGAAATGTGGAGGTATTGTCCACAGATTATTTAGGGAGATAGAAGGTAAAAATAAAATGGGAAGTACTCATCTGTCTACCACTACCAATAAATCATTAAGATATTCTAACTTTTTCATTCTTAAACTATTTTTTGTGTGTACTCTGAGATGCTTTGGTTATTGGCTTGGAGAATTTAATTAGAAATCTGGAATAGGGATATTTCTAATGAAACTGTCCAAGCAAATAAGCAAAATATCACAAAGTATCTTTACCTTGTTACGATGAATTCTGCTTCTTTGCTAGCAGGTGATCTTTTCTCTCGGTCTTGTACTAAATCTACACCAATAAATAGTCCAACACCCCTGTAAAACAAGGCAAAAACATGAAGTTACAATTAGAATATAGAATAACAGAGTTGGAAGGGACCTTGGAGGTCTTCTAGTCCAACCCCCTGCTTAGGCAGAAAATCCTATACCGTTTCATACAAATGGTTGTCCAATTTCTTAAAAACTTCCAGTGTTGAAGCATTCACAATTTCTGAAGGCAAGTTGTTCCACTGATTAATTGGAAGTTGCAATAAAGAATTTTTGAAATTTGGGACTGCTAAAAAGCCTGCTAACAAACTGGGAACTATGTGGCAAGTATGTGCTGCTTATATTAAATAATTAGTAAATGTTTTAAAATTGATACCTGATATCTCCAATTAGAGGATGTTTAGCTTTTTGTTGATTGAGTAGTTCCATAAAGAAGTTTCCCACATGAAGAGCGTGGGTTTGAAGCTCTTCTTTCTCAATAACATCCAGGACTGCTAGGCCTATTGCACAGGACACAGGATTTCCTCCAAACTATGAATGGGAGGGAGAAATAAAAGTTAAAATATATTTTCTACACAAAATTGCTTGTCAAAAGCATATGCCAGTCAGAATTTTATATATTGTAGTGGCAATCTGGAAAATACCTTATACATGAAATATACTAAATACATAGTAATACTCAAGCTACACTAAGATGCATTTTAGAATGAAAATGTGGGTGACTACTTACTGTGTTAAAATACTCTACTCCTGTTGCTGAAAATGCCTCTGCAATTTCCTTCGTTGTTGCTACACAAGCCACAGGATGTCCATTCCCAATTGGCTTTCCCATAGTAACAATATCAGGAATAAAATCCTCTCCTTGAAGTTGAAATGCCCAAAAATGTTTGCCAACTCTGCCAAAGCCAACCTGAATTTCATCAGCAATAAATACACCACCTGCTTTGTGTATATGCCTATTAAAAGAACAAGAAATATATTTATGCAGAAATGGAACAGATCTTATTAAATTTAGGGTTAAAACAAAAATATCTCCAACAATTCACTTTTTCCAAAATTAAGCAGCAGCAACCAAAAACAAAATCCCACCAAGGAAAATTAAATATTTGTTAAGTTAAATCATTTCAGTTTTAATTACTGAAATCTTTGGGAATTAAAACTGGCTCTTGCAGAAGTTAAACATCTTTAAAGTCCTTAAACTTGAAACAGTTTAGAATAAATAGAAAAAAAGCAGAAGAAAAGTTAAGTATGAATACTTACTCTGCAACCTTTTGGAAATAACCAGGTGGTGGAATGATCTGTCCGGCAACACTAGGCAAGGATTCTACAAAAAGTGCAGCAAACTGAAAATGTATATAACATAATTAGTAGAGGTATACATATGTGCATGTATCTGCCTTTTGGATATATTAAAGCTTCTAATTCAAATACCTTAGGTACCATAGTTGAGTAACAACTACTATAACACATAAGAAACTTGAATTACCCAAACAACAGTGTTTGAACATTTGAACTTTTTTTTTTTTTTTTGCCAAGAGCTATGAATTATAGCCAACGATGTATTTTTTTTTTCTTTTCGAACATGATATTCCACTAAGATTCTTTAGGATGCAAGAAAATTACTCAATTTTGCTGGGAGAGTTGTCTGGAGCAAAATGTAAGAAATTATAATGAATGATTTTTTTTTCAAAATTTCCTGACTTGTTAATTGATAGACAGAAGACTCTATTGTAATGGCACACTGGATAACTGACTAAATTCATGTTAGTTAAAAAGAAACACAAAATGATAAATACAGAAACTTTAAAGACAATATTTACCTTTCTGCTTTCTTGGTGTGCTATGTCAATTATTTTTTTCACTTCATCAGCATATGCTGTGGCTGGATCCTTATGATTTTCTCTATATAATCCTCTGTATGTATCTGGAAGAGGAGCCTATTAAAAAATTAATAGTTGATTAGACCACTTGGTTTTAGGTGAATTGGAAATTAACAAGAAAAGGTTAATATAGTCTCTTATGCCTACCACATGGACCCATTCCTTTTGGCCATCTAGATTTCTGAATTTGTATGGACTTATGTCAATCAAAGATGTCAGATGTCCATGATAAGCACTTAAAACAAAACACAATAATCCACAGAAATACATAAATTCTACCTTGGTTTAATATTAGCACCAGAAAATTGTACACATCCAGACTGCCAAACTGTAAACCTATTTTCTAATTTATAATACTTTCACATATTTCAGCTGATGTCCTAGAAAGCAAACAGTTCCCATAAAGATACATTTTCAGAATTCTACTCTGATTATACGTATGTATATTAAATGCAACTTGTAATTCAAAATATGGTCTTTAGGATCACGTACACTTAGCTTTGAAATTAAATGGATGTACCTAGATTAGGAATTCAGTTTGTTTGATCTTGGCTTCTTGGAAGAATAGCAGGATTCAAGTTAAAAAACATGAACGTTAAAAAACTACCATTCTGATACTGATAACCTAAATACTTCTTACTATGAAATATAGGTTAAATAATATTTAAAAGTTCACTTCAGAAACACAGAGTTTGTGACTCCAGTTATTATTGAAAGAAAATACTCTTGAGCCAAACTAAACCTGATAATTATAAAAGCATGTTCTTATAGTTTTTTAAGAGAACAGCATGGAAGTGATTAATACCCCTTTGTCATACTTCTTTAAAGGCTTCCTAATCTAACCTATATCCTTCAGATTCCCTGGCAGCATTTTCCTGTCCAAGTTCTGGGCATGATCCTGTTTAGGTTTTTCCAAGTTCAGTTAAGTTGATTAGGTGCTGCTAGCTGAATTGGACATAGTAATAGAATGCTATTTAAAACATTGTATATACTTACTGGTCAATAACAATAACGTCTTTATGTTTTGTATATTGCCGTGCCAGTCTAAGAGCAAGATCATTAGCTTCTGATCTGTAATGGAAAATTCTGAATTTTCTCCTTGTTCATATTCAGTCATCTATAAACCTGAATGGTTTCATGTGTATCAAATGAGGGCATACTGGTATGAAAATATGAGCAGTATTAGATGTATGTAATTTTTAATAAACTTTAGTTGAATGGATAAAAGAAAAAATACAGATACAATAAACAATTATAAGAGAGAATTCTGCAGTTATTTATATGCAGTGTTTCATTACGGTTGCTAATGTATGATTAAAAGCCTTTTGATTATAAAAAATATGCGAAAATATGAATGTCATTTTTTTTTACAAAAATGGAAAATACATTTTCATTCATTCTGGTTAAAGGAACAAATACTGAAATAATATAAATATCAAAGAAACGAAGAGGTGATTATCCTGACAAACAGTTCCATGAGGTGATAACAAATTTCAGTTCACTTGTTCTGCAAATAAGGTATAAAGATGCCTATTTTTTTTTTTAAACCTACCCTGAATTCAAAAAATAGAAGGAACACAACTTCTCCGGCAATGTTTTAGAAAGTCTTTGTGCATAATCCACCAAATTGTCATGCAGATACCGAGAGTTTGTATTTAGCAGTAAATTCTGCTGATGAGCTGCTCTGACTACTTCAGGATGGCAGTGCCCCACTGAAAAAATAAGGATGGGAATATAGCAATTTCAGTGACCATTCATGAATTACTGTATATGCCAGCGTATAAGACGACTTCCGGAAGTGCTAAACTCGGTGCCAAAGACGGGAGTCGTCTTATACGCTGGAAATACTGGTAGTTTCTGGCGTATAAGACGACGTTCTAGGAAGGCGACTCGGCGATAAAGACGGGGGTCGTCTTATATGCCGGGTCGCCTAATACGCCGGCATATACGGTATTTAAAGACTGTATATAATTCCTCACTTGTTTTATTTCCAGCCTTGGAAAATCAAAGGCAGAATTTAATGATATCACTTCAGTTATCACAGGGGTGTCAAACTTGTAATGTCACGTGATGTGTCACGATGTATCGTGGCTTTTTTTTCATTGCCGGTAATGGGGTGGACTCGGTTTTGGCATGACACATCCAGCCCGGAGGCCAGCAGTTTAACACCCTTGAGTTATCGGATATACTTGCTAGGGGTGCACTTTCACAGAAAAGTAGAATGGCCTCCTGTCTACCATTTTGTCTTGGTCACCCAAACTTTTAAATATCAACTATAGCCTTTATTTTTCTAAATAATTCTGTCCTGAATCATTGTTAGCATATTTATTTTCATCCTGTAGGGTTTGAATGAAGTGAATGAATGAGTGCAGATACTGTCTATGAGAGCAAACACAGGGCCACATAAATCTACTACTGCTGCTGGGTGATATGGACAAGTTAAATCATGGAAAAGGAAACAAACATTTTGACAATTTAGAAAGGACTGGAGTTAAATTTACCTGACTACACAGTTTAGACCTAAGAGACTTTACTAAAGAGAACATAATTTCACACTTGCCTTGAGCAACATTATTGATACAGTCAAGGTACTGGTTTCCATTTTCATCATACATATATTGTCCCTTTGCCCGGATAATCTTCACTGGATCTTCTGGAAAAAAAAGCTTGCAGGATGACCTTTAAAAAAAGATAAAAAAATAAACTTAATTGGAACAGATTAAAAATTCTACCACCAATATGTTGTATATTTGAGGTAATAAATCACAAACAAAATTGTTTAATTAGTTACAATGATACAATAATACACCCTCTTTAATCAAATTCTAAGGAAAATGTTTTTGAACTGAGTTTATTCAGACATGCCTGGTTGCAAGTAATTTGAGCAGCTAAAAGTTGCTTTCTGTAAGAATTTTTAGCACGCTTATATTTCTGAATACAATCCTTTATATATATAATTGATCTGTGGACATTTTAACAGAAGCGCAAAGTCAGGAACTTGTTGAGGTGACATTTAATGTATATTTGCAGGAGATGTGACAGTGAGTAATATAGTCACTGACTTAAAACAGTTTGCTTAGTGACTGAAATTACGGCAGCATTGAAAAATAACCATTTTTCACACTTACGATCATTGCAGCCTCCCCATGGTCATGGGATCAAAATTCAGACACTTGGCAACTGACTCATAATGAGTAGAGTGTTCCAGGACCACGTATTCACCTTTTGTGACCCTCTGAGAAACAAAGTCAATGGGGAAGCCAGATTCACTGAACAATCATATTACTAACTTAACAACTGTAGTGATTTGCTTAACAACTGTGGCAAGAATGGGGTAACAAGTGTCGTAAACTGTCCTAAAAAGGGGCAAAACTCAACTAATGTCTCCCTTAGCATCAAAATTTTTGGGTTCAGTTGTTATAAGTTGAAGACTCTGTCCTGAAAATACTACTTCTAAGAACATAAGTATGGTATAGTTCTGCTGGATCAGGGCAAACCCTTTCTCGAAGCATTTTGTTTCTCACAGTGACTAATTAAATGCCTCTGGGGTACTCCCAATGCATTAGAGGCATACCCCTCCCCTGCAGAGTTCCCAAGCAACTGTTACTTGAGGCAAGGCAGTATTTGTTTTTAGGACTACTGGCATAGATGGACTTACCTACTGATGTGGCCTAGATATGGAAATAAGCTGCCTGTTTGGGCCTCTTGATGAATGCTCTTAACAGACTTACATATTTCTGAGGTTATAGCTGTATTGGACAAGGTTTCACAATAGACTTCCCAGGAAATCAAGTGAAAATGCTTGATAGATGCAATGAGTACAAGATGGGTAGAAGTGGGATTCCCTATTGTCTATAGCTTGGGTATCCAACCTTTTGGCTTGCCTAGGCCATTTTGAGCGAATAGGAATTGTCTCACTGCATATAAAACATATAATAGTTAATGTATATAAATCAAATACATTGTGGGGCTGCATTACTAGCAGTCCAGGGCCACATGCGGCCATGTTTTGGAGATGCCTATTCTTAGTTGTTTTCAAACTCCTACAGCATGACGCTTCACTGTGCCACTAGCAATGAGAGGAGTTGTGCAACTTTCAACCAAAGGCCAGCATTGCAGGTTGGCTTTCAGTGTGCATGCTCCTAATGCAAATATCCCAGCTTCCGAATTACAGTCATTATGCCTTACAATACTTGTTGGTGACGCCAAGAGCAATAGATTTACAGAGATGTACCTTGAACTGTCCTTGTATGTAGCAGTAGATCACATAGGACAAAATGCCTTTCCTTATAAAGTTTACTTGTGTTTACCCTCATATATCTAAACTAACCAACCACTGGGTTTTCAAATTAGATTCACGCTCAATTATCCGCTCGTTCTCCGGGGAAGAATCACGTCGCCTAGACGCGCTAGCTAGACCGTTCTGTGTTGCTTGACTCCACTATTAGGGAAATCCTCGAGACGGAGATAGAATTAAATGTCAGCAGCGCGGGATCATCAGGTTGATCCTACGGGTGAACATCTCGATGGGGGCTTATAAAGCGGATCTACGCAGCTGTCCCCTTTAGATCTGCACTGCGGGACGAGGTGCAACAGCCAGGCGCCCGCGAAGACGAAAGCGTCGCGCCAACGCCAGCAGCGGAAGCGCAGCGCAAGCATATTGCAGCGGCTCCCCCTTCACTGCGGGATGAGTAGGTGGGCGCCTCGCACTTTACGACACAGGAAGGGCAGCGCCCTCCCCCCCCCTCCAGCAGACTTTTCATCCGCCGCCCCAGCACCTACCCAATGAACTGCTTCCGTAAAGCCAGAGTCTGCTGGCGGTTGCGAGTCTCGGCGCTCATGGCTGTTCCGAAGTCTGGGAGAGGAACCGTAGAGATAGGAAAGGTTAGCATAGGAGGAGTCCACGGGCAAAGCCGCTCTCGTGAGGCACATTGATAAGAATCGCTCCAAACGACGCCGAAGCCCACGTTGGCATTTGGACTGGCATTCGGAGTGCGGGTCTGAGGTTGCCGCGGAGGACTCTAGTTGGGTGTTTTAAGTATCTACCTGGGCTGAAATTTGGAAATACAGTTACATTTTCGCAAAGCTTGAGCCAAACTGAATCTGCTCAAAAGTTGTTTAGATCTCCTTCAAAGTGAAGGGAGCCCGAGGAGCGCGCCTCTCTCTACAACTAAATTTGGGTAGGATTTGAGGCTCAAAGCTAACTGCCTTAAAAGCGTATTTTTTATCGTTTTTTTTTTTAAGAGGTGCTTACTCTACATTTATGCGGCCGGAAGCGAGCGAAGAACTTCGGGCTCTTATATTTGGAGTAAATTACGACACGGGACGAGGGGGCGAAGGCGATTTAAACTATTGCGGGTCGAGGTTTAAAGGCCGTATCGATAAGGAACAGTCAAAGCGGGCGAGAGTTTTCCCTTGTTAAAAGCACTTTATCTAGTGAAGGGCTGCGTTAAAGGCGCCACATCTATGCAAGAGACAGCAAAGTAATCTTTCCCAAAGCAGAGCTCTGAATCTTTCGCAGCAGTAAAGCGGAAAACGAAGGGAAAACATCCTCGCACAGCACAGCACTGATAAATGTCTGACGTGGTTATCTCGTAATCCTTGCAGCCACCCTATATGGTTCCAAGGATTACTTTTTTAACGGACGACTTGGAGTGCAGATCCCATAATAGTCAGACCCCATGAGCAATAGGAATTTTACATAAATTATATGGCTGTGCATTTAGCAGGCGCCAACATGGGCAAGGCTGCTGTAAGAGGAATCGAGTAATATTCTTTATACGGCAGATACTAGAACTAAATAATAATTTGCCTCGGCGATTTGTGAACAGATAATGATGATCTTTTTCATTAACTCAAGCTACAATTCTCAATGCTTTTACCTGGAAATAAGTCTTACAGAATGAGTGGACTTACTTTTGAGTAGACCTGTACAGAGTTGCACTGCCTGCTTCTTTGCTGGGCTGGCTATGCAAAATGGCAGTTGCCGAAATGTTCCAGGCTGGCAAAAAGCTGACGAAGATTTTAAAAAAAAAGTAGGATGGAGTAAAATACGAAGTATCTGGAGTTGTCCTGCACAATAAACTCTTCCAGCTTTTCTGCAGGAAATACAAGCTGTGGCTATGAGATATACATGGGATTGATAAACAGACAACTGTAGCTCATTATGGCTGTATCATTAAGATGAATTTTTAAAAGTAGGAATTTCTCTCTTATATTTGGTACTTGGCAAAAACCCAGTACCGTGCATGTTGGTGATTTATTTTCTCTTGAGAGGTGTCCACAAGACTGCTTGACACATAAAACCTGTGTGTTTCTAAAAATAAGTGAATTAATGCCTTATTCACAATTCAGAAGACTAATTTTCAGAGAGGAAGGTTTCATCTTTGTTGTACCACAGCTCGGGATTCAGGGAAATGGCAGATTTTTCTATCAAAAATTAATTTCTCAGTAATACTGAAGTCTACCCTGATAGCCGTGGCCTTAACATTTGCTTGTGTTGATAGTATATTTGCTTTTTTGGGACAAAGATCAGACATTTATTGATATATTTTGTTCATATAATTTTGACGTAAGTCAAGAGCAAAGCAAAACAACAAACATTTTCTGGACTAGTGACTTAGAGAATTAGAAAATACCTTAGCATGAAAACCATTTATCTCTTGTTTTAAGATCTTGTTTTATGTACAAATTAAAACAAAATGGGAGACAGCATTTAAAACTGCTCCTGTTTGAACTTTAATCCCATCTCACCAACTGGGCCAAAATTGTAGTGTTGAAATTTGCTAGCAAAATAGCTGTGTTTTAGTGGGATGGTTCTGGAATTTTGGGAGAAGTTTCTGAGCAGGGATTCCAAGAATAGAAATGAGAGTCATTTGCCTAACAAAAGTCCTGTTCTCAAACCCAAATATTGCATTTTGGGAAGAATAAAAAAAAATTCATGATTGCAGTGGCAATTTTTCTCCAGATTTTGGAAGAAAGAATTTTAGAATACTGTGCCTTATGACAAAACGGTTTAAGGTTTAGTATATTGTAGAAATATACCCAATTGCTCCTTATTCAACATAGGAGAGCCAATGTCATATAATGACTGAGGTGCGGTTACAGGATTAAAGACATTCAGGTTGAAGTCCATCCTCAACAATAAAATATTACTAGTGAACTTTGAATCAAAGTCTTTCAGTCTATCTTCCTCTCAAGATTATTATGAGTAAAATCAAGAGGAGAAAATACGACTATGTCCAAGAATTATGCACAATTTAAAACTGATTAAGTGCTTTGTATCTGGTATAAACAGAACTACTCTGAAATTCATTAAAGCACAGATTTTTGTTTAAGTGTCTGTGCAAGCTTGATAAAAGATGCTGCTGCTCTAATGAATCATATCAATACAGCACTGTGTCCTTAAGACAGCTCTTTGTCTTCCAGAACTCTGCAGAAAACCATTGCTGCTTCATTGAGTAGAAGACAATTGTTTGTATCAGTCTAGAGCAGGGTCCCCAACCTTGGCAGCTTTAAGACCTGTGGACTTCAACTCCCAGAATTCCCCAGACAACGTGGCTGGCTGGAGAATTCTGGGAGTTGAAGTCCGTAAGTCTTAAAGTTGCCAAGGTTGGGGACCCCTGGTCTAGAGCACTTCTGGATGACTTTTGAAATGCGATTTGCCTTGAGCACCTGGCTAAAATGGTGTAATATACATTCAATCAATAGCAAATTAACTTTTGTTAAGCAAAATGTATTTTAGCATGTTATTCTAAATATGTATGTCCCAGATTACTAGCTGTTCTATTTCACCTGTAAAATGCTCTGTAAAAATGGGAGCAGTGTATTGTGGTTTTGGTTTGAATTTGTAGACCCAAGGCAGTTTATACTACGTAAGAATTTTTTTTTTAAATCATTAATTCTTTTTGGGTGGGTGGGGATAGAGTATAGGATATAATGAAAATCCCAGCTATGCTAATGTTCTCCGTTGTTTTCTGTAGGTAACAGTTTTCTTTTCTGGGTTAAATTAGAATTAGCTTCCTTCCATGATGCTGTTGTTTGTCCTGGTTTACCTTTATATATATATGTATGTATGTATGTAAGTATGTATGTATGTATGTGTGTGTGTGTGTGTGTATGTATGTAATCAAATCAGACCAAATCAGATATTTTCATTATAGTCTTTGACCAGCCTTTACAATAAAACAAGTGCAATAAAGGAAAGAAATAGCTTACTATAAGAATTTGTTATTGGGGAAGGGAAAAGTAATAGGAAAATAAAACAATGTATCTAAAAGTTTTGCAGTTGTATAGCTTGATGAAGGTATTGGGCTCCCTGATGTGTGAGTGAGGGGTTAGCATCCCTTAAAAACATAAAATCGATCAATGTGGCCCTTGTATTTGAAAATGACTGGGGTGATCAGAATACATCTTAGGGCACCTTAGGAGGACATGAGTAAAAGTTCTGCCTCCCTGGATCTACAGAAGCAAACTCTCTGCAAATAAGGAGCCCTATGAAATCTTCCCCCCAGTAAAGTGTTAATGAAATGGCATCAAAGTGAGCTCTGGAAAAGGCCCATCCATAACAGTTTAGACTGTGTAGTTACCCCGCTTACGTCTAACATTTGGCGATAGAATTCAGCAGCATTGGTGATGTCATTTTGACAACCAACACCCCTGATTCTCTCTATTACTATTGATTTGGCCTTCTCCAGGGCTAATTGGCCAAATATTCAGGAGACAGATCAAGACTGCAAAGTTCTGCTAAACGGATGCCATGCCAGTGACAAATTTGATAGCTGTCTTGAGAGCAGCAGAGGCATCAGGCCTGTAACATGACTGTGAGTGCTGAGATCAGAATCCTAGTCTAGGCCTGAGCCTTAATATTTGGCACGGTAGCTTCAAGCCTCAATACTGCATTTGATTGAATGGCTTCAGAGGCCCCTAAGGTCTATTGTATCCCATATAATAGGTTGGTAACTGTTTTGGCTATAAACAATTTAACTGCTGCTGGGATGTAATTTGCCCCGTTGCCTGTGCAATTTAATTATTGCTTGTGTGCCCTTTTGGGTAGTAGAAGCATAATTTACCTGGGCTTTTAATTTCCTGGAGGCCTGTGATACTGTGCCCAAATATTTAAAATATTTGACCTGCTAAATTCATGTTAGAAAAAAATTGAAACTTTGGATTGTCCCAAAGATGTTTTTTTTCACGAGGCAACTGGACTTTCTTGTTTTTCTTTGAAATTATTTTACTTCTCATCCAAGAAGCTTCTTCAGCTCTGACTGGATGGTGGGGAATGGAATGGAAGGATTTTTACTCCTTGCAGACAGCAGGTCATTTGCATTCTTTTAAAAAGTTGTTGAGGCCACCTGGAGATTTATCTGTATTGTCAGAGTCACCTGAATAGTGCAAATGCTGTGGAGTCTTTTTGGAACTGTTGAAAGGGCTGTAGACTGGAGATAAACGATGTTGTATCCCTCCTCCTCTGTTGAGAAAGGGCTGTTCAGTTTTGACATAAATGACATAGATCCGTGGTGGTGAACCTATGGCACATGTGCCACAGGTGGTACTCAGAGCCCTCTCTGTGGGCACGCGCATCTTTGCCCCAGTCCTAGGCCTTCAGCTGGGTTTTAGAAACCCTTTTTGCTTTAGGCCTCCACTTTCATATGCAAAAAAAAAAAAAAAAAAAAAAAAGGTTCAATCAATCAATCAATTTCAACTTCTTGTGGGGGAAAAAAAAGATCTCGCAAAGTTGGATTTGATTGATTGAACTTTTTAGTCCCACCCAATGGAATGGAAAGCTGAGTCAACCTTGAGCTGGTCAGGATCAAACTGCTGGCAGTCAACAGACTTAAATCTGCAACATGGCATTTTAAACACTGTGCCACCACGAATCTTTACCTTCCCATTGGATTTTAAATTGAACAGATTATGTGGGGCAGAGAATGTGGACACTACTAAGAGGAAGCATCTTAGCAGTCCTCTTAGAGTTGTGGTGCAGAGGTTAGAATGCAGTATTTCAGGCTAACTCTGCTCACATTGCCAGGAGTTTGATTCCTTCAATACTGATCTGTTCAGGGTTGACTCAGCCTTCTATCCTTCCAAGGTTGGTAAAATGAGGACCCATTTTACCCAGATTATTGTGGGCAATATGCTGGCTCTGTAAACTGCTTAGAGAGTGCTGTAAAGTATTGTGAAGTGGTATGTAAATCTTATTGCTATTGCTACCTGTAAGCAATCGGTATGCTGTCCCTGTTTTAGCAAACCCCCCCCGTCCCATCTTAGTTCCCCCTCCCCTCTAACAATCTATAACATTGTATACTATGCAGCTGAGATTGTGCTTTGCTTTTCTGAAGATTTTTGGGGTAAATGCCAACCTCAAAGTTAATCCAAGCCTGTAGCTACCATTCTCATTGGAGAATGGTTGGTGCTCTTTGGCTGAAACAACCTGAATTACTATTACTTTATAAGATGATTAAGTATATCTAATGTTAGTAAATGATATACTTTCCAAGTAATTATTTCAGAAATATACTGTAGGCCTGGTTAATATAACACTCTTTTTGGATTGAAAAAATTAATGTCACTCTCATTTTTACGTTAAATATTTGCTGGATATATAATTGTAGTTACAAACGCTGCAGTATAGAATAACCATAGAAAACAATCTGTACAAGAAGCAGTTTATTTTAAAACTGTTCAAGTATTAACTTTTACTACAGATTAAAACACAAAACAATGGATATACTGCCAGATAATGCAGTGACTGTTGTAAAATTTACAAAACAAGCCATACAATTTTTAATTAATAATGAGTAATACTGCATTAATGCCGTCGTTTAAAAATAATTGTTCCCTATATTACAGCTAGATATACCACTTCTTTTGGCATATACTCATTAGAAATTATACAATGAAATCAGTAACAGTGAGATATGGCTGTTGTATAAAATATTACCCTCTTTGTTTTGAAAGAAAGCTTTACATTTTATTGAATCTCAGAAGAGGGTTTCCAATATAAACTTGAATTACATTCACAGTTATGTTTGCCTTGTATCTGTGTCTAATTTATTTAATGTCAGATTATTTGCACGAAAATAAAATGTAGATGGTTAGTTTATAAAATTAGTTATTATATTATACCTATTCAGGTTTGGCTGAAATGAAGGACGTTTGAATTAATGCATCTTAACCTGACATAGTTTAGATATTGTATCCACCTGCCATGACCAAATTTATCTTCCTGCATTCTCTAGTTTTGGGAGTGGAGGAAAGAGACACTCCAGGTTATATTTGGAGAATGTATGGTGGAGAACGACAAAGATAAGTTCCCTTGCATGCATTGCTGGCAGTGAATTAAATATAGCTGCTTAACACATTCTCAGATCTGGACTAGAGGACAGTTCTCTGACTTGTACTACCTGAACATCTGGGTCTTCCAGCATAGAGGAATAGATGATGGCATCTGGAAGAGCATGATTCAGTAATGAGAGGCTTATCCATCTATCCATCCATTCATCCTTAATTTCAAGAGAGTCACCAGATCCACAGGTGATACAAGTAACTCTTGTTGGATATGCATGCCAGAACAAGATCTGATTCACCAAATCCATCTGAATTCCTATCAGCCGTAGCCAGTTATGGATGCTGTAGACAGAAGTTATAGTCCAACAACCTCTGGCTTTAGGCAGCACATAGTGCTGATGAGTTATTAATAATAGCAGTAAATTCTGACACCTGCCAGAGGTAAGCTACCATTCCTGCTCATATCTAACATATTATATTGAGGTCTCCTTAGAAATATAAAGGGCAAATAAATTAAGTGGGATTAAAATCTAATTTCAGCTGAACTGTAAAATAGACAAAAGGCAGAACAATTATTTTTGTAGTTGCAATAATGTATTTGTGGAATAAATGCAAAAGGCTTGCAAAATATCATAAATACATTGATTGTGTGACATTTCTCTCCATTTTAGTCCTGCATTTATTAATCAGTAGTTGAAGTTTAGATCAAATTTGGAATTGATTCAAAAGATTTTTAATGTGTCGTTTTGGGCTAAAACTAATGGCTTAACATTGTATTAAGGAAATAGACATGCTAGAACCCAAACTAAATGCTATCAAGTCTGTAGGCTCTTTAGCATGAAAAACTAAATTATGTATATTATGCTTCACTGATTCTGTTTCTTCAATAATAAGACTTTATTGGGGATTAATTTACACTAGTTATGAATAGATAATATATACTTAATTCATTCAGGTACTCCTTGCCTTAGTAATGGAGTCCACAATTTCAGCCGTTGGCTATTAGGGCCATAAAGCAGTTGACCGCATGATTTGACCAAATTTTAACTATATTGTTCACTATAAGGTGTTTTTGTTGGAAATTGGAAATAAATGCCAGTTTCTGGCAAAAACATAGTAAATTACAGTCTTGTATCCATGAGGCACTGCACATAGCTGTAAATACAAGCCAGTTGCTGAGTGTCCAAAAAACGGTCTTCTGACCATTGGGACTTCAAACTTGGATCGTAAGTTCCATTTTCAGATCCATCGTAACAATGACTGTTTTCAAGTCAAGAACTATATACCGGTATGTTTTACAGCTCATTTGTGTAGCCAGATCAACAGTTACATATGGGTAAGTTTTTATTATATAACTGCCTACCATTCCAAATTAATTTAATCAGTAAATGTCAGTTACTGAGTATGTTCTGTATCACCAGAAGATAAAACTGAATAAGTATATAATTATTCTATTACTGTATTAATAACTCAGCAGGACATTAAAACGGAGGCCTTTTAGAGAAGGACTAATTCAATATCATTTTTTAGATGAGAGTTATTACAGTACAATGTGGATATTACTTAAAGGATAGTTGGATTAAGCTGATACATTCAAAGATTATTCCCCAAAATGAATACTGTAAAATGGTGCCACAAACAAGATAAATATGTTGTCTGGATGTTACATTTCTCATTCTCCAAGATAATGCCACTTGTTTGTCATCTTCAATTCTGCTAACATCTAGTGGTGATTTGCCAACTTAACTGTCCTTACATAGAATAAATAGGATATTTCTATTCATCATGTTATTATTTTCAAGACTTTAAAGATAATTTCTTTTCCATAATTATCCATACCATAACATATAATACTGCTAAATGAGTGTGTACTCAGGAAGGACCTAAAAAAATGTCAAGATGATGGCCACAATGAAGCAATCAAAATTCTTTTTATGAGCTTCTTTTTTATATGTTCATTTTAATCTTTTTGAGCCCCCAAACCAGACACTCATGCTGATAAATATTTTTAAAAGAATATGCAAAGAATCTATTTTTTTCCATAATATTTTTGCTTCTGCTTTATTGGTAGTTTTCTTTACTTTGTTTTTATTCTGATGTACCTTTCTTAAAAAATATTAAAAACTAAACCAAAAACTAATCTCATTAACTGAAATGAGAGTCTTCTAGGAGAAAAATGCCTGTTAACATTCAACATTTTATTATTTTCAGCACTTTTGAATACTTTCCCCACAATTATCCATACCACAAAATGTGACACTGATAAATGTTTTGAAAGGAATCTGCAAATAATCTCACTAGCTACAATGAAATTAAACTAATTTCAGAGTTATCCAGAAGAAAAACATCCACATATATTCTTTCATAAATCTCTTGGTTAGGATGAAATTTAACAACTGATACTGTGATACATATTAATTGTTAAATTATTAATATATTGCCACAATTTCTATGTGCTAGGTGCAAGAAACAAATCTGTGAGAAGATATCCAGAAGATATCGGACAATATGTACTTTCACACCATAAATGTTGAGGGAGAGCCATCTGGCAAAGTTCTTTCTAGCAGAATTTTCTAGTAGTAGGGAGGGTAGTCCAAGGACATGTGAGAGGTAGCTGAGCACACTGTGCTTCATTTTCTAAATATCAAATTAGTCTGCAACTGACAGTTTCTTCCCTCTAATGTTAGTTGAGTTCTTACCTAGATTAAACCTCAGGACCTCTCAACCACTGCTACCTTAAGGTTAAAATTATTTAATATAAATGCATTTTTACCAAATTCTTACATTGGTGCAGAAAGGGAAGATTTCTTTTAATGGGAAATATCAAAATTGAGTTTTTAAGGAGATATCTTTCTGACAGTTCTCTTAAAAATTGGAAAATTATAATTATGAATGATATCCCCATCTTGAGAATTTCTTGGTTCTATGCTATAAACATGGGCCTAATACCTCATACCTTCTGTGTACTTGCCCTAGACCAGAGATCCCAAACCTGTGGGCCGTAGCCCAGTACTGGTCTGTGGCCTATTTGCAACCAGGCCACGAGTGGCTGGCTGGTATGCACGCATGCAGCCCTACTTGCGTGAGCATCATGGGCGGTTGCGGGCCCACTCGCACGTGCATTGCAGGCACTCGCAGCCCCACTCGTGCAAGTGCTTGGGGCCTCACTTGTGTGAGTGTCACAGGTGCTTCTGGCCTCAGGCAAGCAACGGGTGCTTCTGGCCTCAGGCGAGCAACGGGTGCTTGTGCACACGTGCACACTTGCCCTCCCACAAGACCATCCCCTTTCCCTCCTCACCCCCAGCCACCAACCTGGAAAGATTGGGGAACTCTGCCCTAGACTACTATGTGCTCTATTTTTGTTAAGAGCAGCAGATATACAATATTAAAATAAGAATGAATGAAATCTCTTGCCACATGGTAAGAGTGGAAGAGAAAGACTAGGAAGGCATAATATTTAACTTCTCTTTCTTAATTCAGTTATATCGTCATTTAATTAAACTGATGTTTAATGTTATACAAAACTAATGTCATATAGGTCTCAAAAATCATAAACTAACTTCGACAACCAAATGAATTAACACAGTGAAGCAATGTTAACTTTATACTTTCAAATTTTAAGAATCTTATGCATCTTCTTCCAAGAAGATTTGTACAGTAGTTTAAAGTATTGATTGAAGCTTGTCTAGAGTACTTTAAAAACATTTACAACAGAAAGAACAGATATTCCTGCCAAAGATTCATAGAATAGCAGCCCTCTGTCTATACAAATGGGGGAGCCATTGTGTCATCCTTACTGAAGTAAATTCTGATCAGTAATGCAAACCAGTACTTTTGAACATCCTTAAATTTATTTTTGGGAATGAGGGCTAAAACTGGGAATCAGGATAAAACCAATTAGTACTAAGATAAAATGTGAAGGGAAATATATGCATTCTAAGTATTGTTAAAACCATACGCCTCTTGGTTCCTATATCGTGTGAATGCTAATTGTAACGTTGTAATTAAACTGATTTTTGCTGATGCTTGAGGATTTCAAACAATATTCTGATTAGCCAGAAAGGAATTACTATCAGGTTAAACAGGAATAATTTCTATTCATTCATCTTTCTAGGCAAATTTTAAGAAATTATTCCTCAAATCGTTTTGCACTCATTTTAGAGCTCATGAAACTTTGGGTTAAGGTGACCTTGGAAAACAAGCATCTTTTAAGATTGTTGGCGCTTTAGCATTTTATACTTTGAATAAAATATTGAATACTGTAATCAAAACCTGGAATTTGAAACCTATGGCAGGTTACATTGCTTGGTTGGATCCTGGAAGATTTTGGAATGGGAGAGTTTCTACTGTTTGTGAAAGACTGCTGATATAATTATTCAATATTTTATTTGAAATGCTGGTTTAGTGGGCTAATTCTGGTGAAAGGAAGAGGCAACACTTGCTATTTCTCCAAAGGCTTAAGGTGCCCTCTGGGTCTTGAGAATACAGAAAGGTCAAATGGCAAAAATCCCTGCTCCCTTTCTGCAAGTAAGCTGGCAGTCTTGCAGGCTGCCAGCCAAAGAAACGTGCTAGTCAATGCTATGTCTGTTAGAGGGAACAATGACCGTGTAGATGTTCTCCTAAGGCAAAACACTATTTCCTTCCAATGATATTAGTAGATACTGTGAGAAACTGTAGAAATCGCTGCTTGTTATAACCAGAATCTTCAGACCATTGTGAGCAAGGTGAAGTTTTTTGGAATTAGTAACTGAATTATAACCACAATAACTAGAATGGATCTTATATTGAACAATGTCATAATCCACTTATATGATTTCATAGATACAGTCTTAGGACTGAAATAATACCATGTTGTATATAGAGACATTTGGCTTTTGGGGCAAACTTTTTTGAAGCAAGAAAGATGTACCTGTGACAAATATAATTTGCATAAAATATGGAGCTCCTCCTTTTTCCTTCTGAAAAGAGCCATTTCAAATTAATTACAAATGCTTTAACAATAGGTTGTTTCACATTACTCTTATAATCTTATATATTTATATAAATGGGTGTGATGAAACACTCACTGGTGGGTTGGTGGGAATAATATTTTCTGTACTTATTGAGTTCTGTGATTCCAGAAGACTAAGCAGCACAATGGGTATCTTTTCCAAGTTTGCAAAAGAGAGCAGCCATGATGGGATTTTTGTTTTTAAAGCAAAACTTATTTTTCAAATCTGTACATTGAGATGAATATTATAGAGTATCCTTCATTTTGTTAAAGTTGAGGTGTTCCATGTTTCTGAATTTCTGCAGTAAAATAAAGTTCTACAAAGGAATCTTTCAAACTTTAGTCACAGACTGAAGATATGAAGTGGGGATTTTCCTAGAGATGATGCTTTCTTCTGGAGGAGAAGCAGCCACAGGTCATAAAACCGATCAGAGTGACCCAGGATGAAACTAGTTTCTTCAAGGTTGAAGCAAGTAGCAACAAGTGTGGTTACATTTGTGTTACCTTTCCAGATTGGAAATTCTTCCTACGTTCATCCATAAGGTAGAGTTTGTTCAATTTCTAGGGCTGAATCTTTTTTTTCTTTTTCGTTTTCTCTCCCTGTGTCTACGTGCAACAGAGTTAGAAAGTTGAAAGCTAAAAAGATTGTCCAGGGATGTTTTTTCTCCATGCAATAAAGCAAGTTTTTTCAGCTTGATTAATACACACAATAGCATTAGCAGCAAGTGACATCCATTCTTGACTGTTTCAGAATGTTGAGTGCTTGTGTGTGTGTGTGTGTGTGTGTGTGTGTGTGTTGGTATGTGCCAGTCTGTAGTCTGTCATGTGGATCTCAGGAATGTTCATATTTTAAAAAATCCATATATGACAATATCCAGTATTAGAAGATCAATATATTACTGTTGAAAACATTGTTTTTGTGACTTTTTTCTTTTTGTATAAAAAAAATAATAAAAATAAACATTTATCTCACTATTATTTACATAGTCCATGCGTGTAGAATCACTGCAAAACAAAACAAAGCAATGCATGTTTTAAAACACAGGCATGCATGCATTTTTCTTTCATAGATTGTTTCATTAGAATGCAGTTTCCTTAAATATTTCTACAAGAAATGTCTATTTGACTTAATAATGATCATGCTTAACAGAAAAAGCAAAGCTTCTCCTTCAAAACTTGCTCCATATTAACTAACCAATGACAGAAAGTAAAGAACTTCTCCTAGAATGGCTGAATTCTATTTTATCATTAGTAAAGTATGTTATATATTGACCAAATCAGTTTTATAATTATTGGATTTTACTCAGATGTTAAGTTGCTTCCTCATACTTTATTTTCAAGCTGTTCTTTTGCACTAATAAAGCATTTAGCTGTCTGACTGTCTGATCACAAACCCAAATCTGTAAAGAAAAGAATGATGGAATAGTTAGCACATTATCTTTTGGCTACTACCAGTAGAAGTTGTTCATCTGAAAGGAACCATGCCTGATTTTTAGCATTTTTTGATCAGTTATAGTATTCATAATCTCCGTTCTTTGACAAAATCCTCTTTTCTTGGAGCAAATATTGGCAGATTGTTTGTTTTTAATGTAGCTCATGGGACATTGAGCAGGATTTTACTACCACCCCCCCCCCAGGTCTTTTCATCTGTTGCCCTTTATAGATATGAAACTTCTGGAACATTGTCTCAACCCCTTCTGCATTATCACCATTATTCTAAACACAGCAGAGGCTGCAGATAGCAAAGTTTGTGTTGAGAAAAGTTGAAAAACATCACCTTAACCTCAGATCTGACAACCGTAATGTAAGATGGTCTCAGTTATGAGATGAGTTATGAAAACATGTCCTTAAAGAGCAGTAAATGAAGCATTTTGAAGTGCAGTTAGGGAACACGTAGGCAAACCTTGGAACATTAAGAATCTATAGTCTCAGTGTTCATGGCAGATATATGAAGATTTAAAGAGAAAAGCACATTTCCTTTTTCTCTTTCAAAGACAAATGGCAAAGTATATTTTAGAAATAGGAACATACCATTTACATGTTGGGGGGTTAGCAAGCACACAAAAAGGAGTTTGTGGAAATCATCCCACTATCTGTGTTTTGCTGCTAGGTACTAAAACTCATGCAAAGTAGCAAAATTAATAGTGAACAGTTGTCCTTTCCAATCTCAAGGTAATTAGAAGGCCTTCTTTATTTATGAAAATCAAAATGTGAGTAAAGAGGATTTCCAGGTTTTGTGTCTGCAGTGCATGGCTGTGCGAGAGCGGACCTCCGCTCCCCACAGTTAATTTCTTCCTGCTTGGGGGACCCTAGATAGGCCTGAAGTTGCCCCAGAGAGGTGACTGTGAAGAAGGGGCGCCCCGTCGATCACGAAGGAATAGTAATCACTTTGATCCGGGGAAAGCCCTCCGAACCCGACAGGAGAAAGGCTAGCATGAGATCAGTGTCTAGCCCAAGCTGCTTGTAGCTGAAGTCCCAGAGCACGAACCTAAACATCGGTGAACAGTGTGCTTGGAATTGGTGAGAGTACTGATCTTCTTTCTTCTATCTACTATTTACATCCTTGAAAAGATCCCCAAAGCAAGAAAACCTCCAGAAGTGAAGGGAGGGGACTATATCCCCATTCCCTTACAGAGGGAAGCGGCAAATTAACATAAAAGGTGGAAAGAGATATACTAAAATTTGATTTAAAATATTTTAGTCTGGACAAATCTAGGAACTAAAAAACTGTCAAGATTATACCCTAAAAAATTTCTAATGCAATTATAAAAATATATAACAAAAATAACTTTTTGATTGAAAGAAAAACTGAAAAAAGAAATAACTGTTGACATCTAGTGGAGAATCAGAGAATAGAAGATCAACAACAAGGACTCAGAAATTGGCAAAATGCCCAGAAACAAAGAAAAAGTTGTTCCTTTGAATTGCAAATAACCTTGAAGACAGCTGGGAACAAAGGAAGAGCCAGCTATAAGATTAAAAAGTGTTTGAAAGAAAAAAAAACCTGGACTGTTGCTTAAATCTAAGAACTGTTTATGGAAAAAAAAAACCTTGGCTTTTTGGCTAATCTTTTAGAGGAGAATTTGCAGGAAGGATTTAAAGTGATTTAATACACTGAATCTGTAATTTTGACTGACTGAAAAATTGACTTTTGAATTAAAACATTGATGAAATATTGTTTGAAAGGGGGGAGACAACATGGATATCGCATGCGTATCAAAAAAATGACAGGATGCCCCATTCAATATTTTCTCCTGAAGGACTTAGGCTGGAAAATCAAGGGCCTCCAGAAGCAATACCTCAAGGCAAGATAAATACTTTCCTGGAGGAAAAATATGTAATGTTAGGACAAATACAAATGACAATAGATTCAAAACCACGATGAAATTCAAAACAACTTTGAGGATTTAAATAAGCATATTTCCAATCTGAATCTACAATTAAAAAATACCCAGGAAATAACAACAAAGGAACAAACAAATCGGACAGCAGATTACAAACTAGAAGAGTATGATCAAATTGATGAAATAACAAAGGAAAAGAATTACAATTTGACACAAACAGGAAAAAATCTACAAGGTTCTGATATATCGAGAAAAATGGAATTATTAAGAGAACTATTAAAGTTTGGGGGACAGAAAGAATTTATCTTACTTACTTCATCTTTTGTATTCCCAACAACATTTGTAAAAATACAGGAACTGTTGGATAAGCGGATTACATCAACTTGGAAAATTACTTGGCAAAAGAAGATGATCAGAGACAGATACAAGAGATTTGACTCGCCCTACCAGATGGACTGTTACATGAATAAACATTTGTTTGAATATGGCTAAAAGAACAGAGAATTTCGAACATAAAGGGGCCTTATAACAAAAAGGATAATGAGATTTAAGTAACATAGTATGTTTTATAATATATTAAATGTTAAAATAGTAGGTTGATGTATTTTTTTACTAATATATAAGTAAAATATAAACTGATTAAAAAGGTTGTTATATCTAGATACTATAAGACAGATAAAAAGTATAGTATTTTTATAATGCTTGACATAAAATATTGGGATGATGTACCTAAATGGGAAAATTTAGACAGTGAGATGACTAATATGAAGACATTGTGACTGATAAGAATTGGATTGAATATAAGGGAATCTAAGCGAACAAAAATTATAAAAATAGGATGTATGCTGAACTAATGAGATGATGGTTATGAGAATAATATAAGCTGAAAAAAATGTTTAGAGAGATTATTATTTGTATAAATATAAAAATGCTTATACCTAATCATTTATATATTGAAAATATTAAGAATTATATTTTGGCTAAGATCAAAGAAATGTATTATTAATTAATATATTAATTATGGAATTATCAAATTTAATCATTATTGACAATTAATTATTACTGTCCTTTTTTTCTGGTTAAAATATAAACCAAGACCACACGCTGTACACCAGGCACTGGAGATTGTTATAGTTAAAAACCAATAAAATATCTATAAAAGTGTGGGTAAAGAACATGATTGGAAGAAAGTTTTATGTTAAAGAGGAAAGTTGTTGCTTCTCTGCCAGAAACCCTCCTTCCACTCGCATGAGCCAAGTTCATGGGCTTGCTTAAAACATATGGTTAAAAGCACATTAAAAATAAATATAAAAGCAACTGAAAAGCAAGATGCAAAATCATTTTGAAACTGAAGTAAAGCCAGATTTTTATGCCAGAATGAATCCAGGTTGGACTTATATACATTCCACATAACTGTTATTGCTAATTATAATTTGAAATGCAAATTTGACATATATAGGAACAGGTATTTGCTTGTCTCTGGCTTAGTCCTCTTTTATATTGGTATTAATTCACAGCCATAAGCCCCCATTCAGCTGTTATAAAAACAAGAAAATCAGCCTGCATTCAAGGCTTGAGTGTATATTAGTCTTACATTCCCTACAAAGGTAAGCATCTGCAGTGGAGAGTATCTTCTATCCAATGAATCTCTCCTTAGTGGTTTTTGGAAATGAGGATACTTAATCATATGAAGAGCTTCTCCATTCTACACATGGGAGAGCAATACTAATGGGTCCTCCTAGACCTAGACTGTTTCAGAGCAAAACAATAGGGCTATAAAAGCACAAACATTCAGATTTACTTCAGTTTATTTAGTTGTTTACAACAGAATATACTGTGTTATTGCTCTTGCTTTAACAACAATCCAAATTCAGGACAAAAAAAATAAATCTAAAATATGTTTATAATACCTTGTGCCAACATCCTGGTACTGGTAATCCATCTGGACCCTGCAATGAAATAAAGAATCATTTTGTATTATTGGAAAACTGCTAAGAAACAAATGTCACTTCATTAATGATGGTTTTGGAAAGTCTATAGCAGCTACCATGAAGAGCAGCTAATGTGTGAAGACCCATTCAGAAATCATGTGCTGGTTTGAAGAAAGAATATATTGGAACAAACAATGTTTCATTACTTAATAATCCTTAAAACAATCAAATATCTGGATTCTTGTACACATTTATCTTATCAAAATGTTTTGATATATGGAATCACATGAATCTTTGAGGCAACAAAAGCTGTAACATAGCTAAATTAAATCCACCTGTGCAGTCTGTAGATGTACTGTTGAGTTTAACTCCATAGCAGGTTATGACAAGTTTACAAAGACTACTGTATATCCTTCTTAAAATGAGAGTGGGAGCAAAGATTAAGAAATACTAGCATCTTCTTAGGTATTTTTTAAAATTATCTTCTATGTCCATGTTTTCAGTTTACAACTATCAGTTGGTGGACAGACACACTTGATACATTAGCTATGTAAACATTGGAGCAGCTATGCACAACATGCTTGAAAGCCCTTGACCAATTTTGCACAAACACAAAAGATGTGTTTCATAAATCTTGTGGCATTTAGATAAAAAAGGTTGGAATAAAATACAGAAAGTAGTACTATTTAGGGAACTTGACATTAAATTTTTAGAGTTTGCAATTTTCTCCTAAGCATCTGATGGTAAATTAATGGCAACCACTAAAGCTGATGCATCACTGATTACAAAACCTGACTGAGGAATCAGAGCAGACACGAGTTTAAAAAAGACAAAGCAAATAGAACAATTAAAGTCAACCATGATATTCACAGATGGAGAAGACCAGAAGACAGGACTGACAAAGAGGACCTAATTGGGAAGAGGTGAGTTGGAATATCCGCTCAATCCAGGATTTTGTTGAGATTTTAAGAGTTTGCCTTGAGCATCTGCATGTAGCATTAGCTGTTTTATGTATAGTTCAACCAGTACAAACGTTAATAATCCAATGAACTAAGATACATACTGTTCAAAGGGACAATGGTGGGATCAAACAAAACTGAAAAATATCTTATGAAGCAAATAGCTTGTTAGGAAGTAAAAAGGTGATTTGAAATGGCCCAGATTTAGGTGTAAAAAGGACTGTCCTGGTGCTTTGAATCATCTCAATTTCCCACTAATTATTAAGTTTTGTGACAGCTATACTTTTGTGGATCATGAAATCAGCCCAATCAAACCTACTTTCCCAGGACCAAAGCAAAGATAGAGAGGAAAGAAAAAGTGGGTACAACAGAAACCAAAGAACCCTTAATATTAATGCAAAGGGAAAACTAGCCATATATTATGAATATTTGGCTGAACTTTATTGCTAAAACACAGATCTGTATACTTATATCACTGCAGTAATTTATATTAATTAAATGTCTTTGACATCCTGTGTGAAATCATGTCAACTTGCTCACATATTCTTATAGTCTAGCAGATTCTGCTTTTAAAATATTTTAAACACACATACACAGACAAACACACAGAGAAAGAGAGAGAGAGAGCAATAACTTTCCTTTGTGACTGGCTGTTACAGAATTTTGTTTCCTATACTCAAAGTAGTGAGATGCTGATCCAAACTTTGAAAGACTTTTAAGATGGAGCTACAGAAATTCCAAATGAAAGACTTTAAGAAAGGTGTGGAGCAAAGATCATATAGCTAGATCTTGGGAACATAAAGAACCTGTGTGACACTCCAAATTTGGCATACCCTTCTAAATTCTATGACTCAGGTTTTGCCTTTCCTAGCATCTGCTTCTTGGTACCTTTTTAAATGGAGAAACCAGAGACTCAAACTGAACCTTTCACCATGCCTAGCCTTTGTTTGGAATGCCAAGGGGACCGTGCCAAGCTACATCCAGGGCACACATTGGGGGAAATGTTTGAGAATCTACATTTATCCCTTTATCTTTCAATGGTACCAGATGCTACATATAATAATATATGTATTGTATATTTTAATACAAAGCTCTATTCAGAAAAAGTATACATTTTGTATATTTTTTCTGAATAAAGTTTTGTGTGTATGTATGTGTGTGTGTGTGTATGTGTATATATATGTGTATGTGTATGTATGTATGTATGTATGTATGTATGTATGTATATTGTTTTTCATAAGCATTATGTAAGCCACTCTCTGTGAAAGAGAAAGATAGTTTCCAGGCTGGGAAGAAGGGAGAATATGCCAAGCAGAAAAAGCCATGCAGGAGGAGGAAGGAAGAGAAAGATACTGTACCAAAGGACAGAGCATTTCCACACCATCCAGTTCTGGTAAACCCGTCTCCCCTTTAAAAATGAACTGTTAATTGAAAATGGAGAGAAGGTTAATAGGAAAGGAAGAAGGAACAGAAATAAAAATTCAGAGACTGACTGAAACCTATAGCAGGAGCGGGCAACCTCCCAAGAAGAGGCCTTCTAGTGATGAAGTGACGTGACCTGATAGAGCTGATCAAGTTTTTTCAACCCTAACCTTTTTGTTTTATTTTGTCTTAAAGGGAGGGAACAGGAGCAGAAAGGCGGCAAGCTGTTCCATTTCCTCTCAAAGGCCTACATTCTGGGGAGGGATGTTGGATGTTTCAAAAAGTAGACAGTTTGACTTGCAGAGGCCTCCTACTCCTTCTGCCATCCTTATTTTTCGAGGGCAGGGGGAGAAATCACAATAATGGTGTCTTTGGAAATGGAATTTTGGTGATGTGACCAAAATTAGAAGCCACAACTAAGGGACTCTAAAGCTGACCACAGCCTGCTGGCTGCTCACTTTTTTCTATAGAGGCTTCAGGACATTCAGGATAAAACTGACAGGTGACAGGAGGAACAACAAAGGTCTTTCTGTTTTTTTTTTTTTTAATAAAGCAAAGCTTTAAATGGTATTGTCCTAAAATGACAGGCGAGGAGTGTGGCTTTCAGGATGGCTTGTGAGATGTTTTTAGCCATCTGTTCAATATTAGGGAGCAAAAGCACATTCCAGTCTGTGGCATAAGAAAGGCCAATAGTCAGAAATATTAGCATTCACTTAGACACTTCGTTCCAAACAGCCTCTCTCTCCAAAATGTTTTGAAATAGATTGCTTCTTATACTAAAGTTTTCAAACATATCAAGAATATTTCCCCCCCAAAATAAAATCATACCACTGGGCAAGGCTGATCTAATCCAGGAGGGCCTGGTTCTCCTTTTTGTCCTTTTGCTCCTTTTCTGCCCGGCAATCCTCTTTCTCCCTGTAGACATTAAATAAAAGTATAGATATATTCTTAGCATGACAAATGTCTCAACCTTCAGCTAGCACCCAGTTCTGCTTAGCTTTTGCATTATAGAATGTTCTATTTGTATTAAATGATTGACACAGCTTCAGACCCTTCCTATAGAAACATTTGACTGAAGTAAACAATTGATATGAAGCCAGTGATCCAAGAAATTAACTCAATAAAAATTAAGATGTTTTCTTTTACTATGGAGGACTTGCTTATATATGATATTGTTAGGTACCAAATAAAGGTTTAGCTTAAGGTTAGTAACTTTTTCAAGCCACCAGCAAATAAACAATAATGGCCAAATAAACAGAATGCCCAAAATTTCATAAAAACCAGCATACACATATTCTTGTAATTTCAAAGTAGAGTTGATAATTTTAGGAGATTTATGACTTTTAAAAATGCTTTATTTAAATGTGGGTACCATAGGTAGTTTTGATGCTGTGGTGCCAAGCCTAAATTAGATCTGTAACTTATAAGGAAGAGTTTACAATGTGTAAAATATAAATGTGGGCTTAACATAACTCTGTGTTAAATGTTTCTTAAATGTTTCCCTATACAAATATGTGGAAAATTAACATATCAAGGAAGAGGATTTATATGTTCTTATCAAGAACATATAAAGAAGAACTTGATAAGACAATTTCCTAGAGCAGAGATGTTTTATGAAGATGTGGGAATAAAATAAAAAAACATTCAAGTGTATTTTTTTAAAAATAAATTTTCCAGTACAAAATATGCAACTATGTATTATTTTAATTATATGAACTGTTTGAATTAAATATTACACGGGAGAACAAAGGTACAGAGATAGCTTTTTTGAAGAGCAGAAAAGAAGACAAGAACTTTATGCAGAGAATTAGAAGTGATAGTAACCTTTTCTCCTCTTTCACTTTTTTCTCCTTTTTCTCCTCGGAGGCCAGGGAAACCCTAGAAAAACACAATGGCAACATTTAGAGTCAAATATTCAAGAATAACAATCATAAAGCAAAAGACAACACGTTCCTTTCTTTCAAATAAGTACAGCCAAGCATCACTCTCAGAAAAGAAGAAACATTTTTGTGTGTGTGCTGATGTGTATATGCATGAGGTTACACCCACAAACACACACACACACACACACACGTTATAGATTCTTAATAGTGGTTCTGATGTGTATAATATTCAAATCTCTTAAGAAGCCACTAGATGGCACAGAACTCAAACTCAGTGAACAGGACAACAGCAATGCATTATGACATCCTTATGACAGGGACCATATGGAGAAGCTGATATCTCCAATTCAAAACCATGTAATTTAAAGTTCAGTTTTTAATTTACTCAGAAACTAAGACTGATAGCCACTATAATCCCACAAACAGAAAACCTGGAAGACTTAATCCCAAGCATCCTGCTATCTTTCAGTTTATATCTTTTATTTATAAAACAGGAGTGAATGGCCTACTTTAAGACTGCTTCCCCCCCCTCCCAAATATTCAGCTGAAGGAAAAAGTTTACTGTAAATACTACAGATAGAGCTTGCCTAACAGCCTTAATTGGAACCAGCAACTCCGTTGCTAAATTAAGTGGTTGCTAAAATGGGAAATTAGGTGACTTTGATTGTGCTTTCTGCCTAGAAAGTGACAAGTCCACTCATTTTCACACTTTTGGCTTTTGTTTGTCTCTTAAACACTCTCCTGCCTTGGGAATGCTCCAGGGCTTGCTTACTACTATCTTGTACACACTGAAAGCAAAGCAAATGTGCCAGAGCCCAGGCTGGGAGCCATGGGTCGTTACTAAACAGCTTGCAGTAGTCTCTTCCTCTCCATTCTCTCTGCTCTGTCTGGGAGGGGGAAGCAAGCAAATTCTTTAGGCATTTTTTTTCTCTTTTGCTTGACCCTTCGTCCCACCCCTACTCACAAAGTGGAGAGGTTGGAGAGGGATTTCAAGAGAGCAAGATGTTTGCTCTTCTGCACATCAAAAGCAATAAGACAGAGTTGTGGATGCACTATGAGGGGGGAGGAAAGTAAGCAGTTTCTGTTCACAATCACTCCTTTATCTGACTCCTTCCCATTGTTGGTGGCATCATCACATTGCTTTCAGGGTGCAGAACAGCAAACAGCTTGCTCTCTTGTAATCCCTTCCTCTACAATCTTGCTCTGCATGAGGGTGAAAAACTCAGGTCAGGCACAGGATAGTTTATACTGAGTATAATAGCAATCATGTGACTAAGAAATGCTGTGAAAGTCAGAAATGGTTGGAATTTTTTTCAGCTCTATCGTAATATATTCCCAATGAATTCTCAAGGAGGTATAAAATAATTTATTATTTATATAAATAAAGCTACAAAATGACAAAAAGGCAGCAGAGGATAGTTAGAAGGACTAAATTAGCAGAATTAAACTCTAACTTATTTGCATGTTATTTAAAAGTATATAGGGGAGACTTAAGATGACTCATTCTTTATGAACATTTCTACAACTCCACAAGTGGTAGGCCCATATTAAAAGGTCTACCTAGTAATCACAATCCACTTTTCTTGAAAAACCAAAGTAGAACTTAGAATTAAACAAGGTAGAAAAATTGGACAGAGAATGGATTCTGGAATTATTTTCAATCTCTTAATAGTACCTCCATTTTGGGTTGCGTGGCCAGGAAGGGAGCTCAGAATAGAGCCATCAGTACATTCTGAGCCACTGTCCACTTTATTTCCATTGGAGCGTAACAGTATTAAATGGATGTTTTTTAACGGTAGCCCCTGGCCAGATCCAATCAATGTTTTAATGTGATCGCCTTCAACAGGAGTCCGTATCAACCCCCAGGGATTAATGGCACTATCCATTATTGTTATTATTATATCCATAATAATGTGAAATTGCAGCTGCCAATTCTTTAGCTGGCATTAGTCTTCATACTCATCAAGTTCTTTCCAATAATTTAGGATGTTGTAATGTATTGGCATAGTATATGTGCTGATCCAAGCAATATAATCTTTTGTAATTGACAGATGAAAATTTTGTGCTGTCCCAAGATTTTTTTGTTATGGCACCCTGTGAGCTGATAACCACCACAGCCGTTTACACGATAAACTTTAAATTTCAATTTTCAAATCTTGGTACTTGGTGGTCTTCTCAAATTCTTTGTCTTGTTCTACTACCACATCAATTGTCCATACTCAACTTCAGTTCAATATGGTGTGTTATGAGCTAAAACTATATCAGTTTGTATTCAGAAATCTCACTATATTTTAACCTGCTCATTTTTTTTAATCACCTTTTTAACTACCAGTTTTTCATTTCAGGCACACGATAATTTTACAGACGTTCCAGTGAATCATTTTGGCAACTTTATTATGTCATGGTTTATAATCAGTTTGTGCCATCTTCTTGCATGAGCTGAGTATATGATGTACTGTTCCTTCTGCTTCTTTGCACAATCTGTACTTCGAATCATTTGATGCTTTTTTAGTTTTGGTCTTTTTATTTTTATAATATATTTTTATAATATAAAATTCAAAACAAAATAATAGGAAAAACAGGGGAGGGAAAAGGGAAAGGAAAAGTGTAAAAAAAAGGGGGGGGGAAGAAAGAAAAGGCATTGACTTCCCACTCCCTTAGGTGCAGTAGAATAAGATAATAACATCAAACCTCAGCTTTTTACTTTTACATAGTAGTATAAACTAGCCACTTCTATAACAACAAACAGTTCTGGCCTTGATTGCATTATCGGAATTCCTTGACATACAACCATAATAAAGCCTGACCATTATGGTCATATGTTATAAAACACATGTGACCAACCCAATTTTACAACCTTTTTTTGCAGTGATCCTTAAGCAAATCTGCAGTCATTAAGCAAATGCCACAGTTGTTGACAAAACCATTGGTTATCTAAATCAGGGTTCTCCAATCTCTGGGCCATGGCCCACTAGTGGGCCATGAGCAGTTTGCAACTGGGCTGTGGAAACAGGCGAGCATGTGTGCATTCCCACTTGTGCGAGCAGTGGGCAAATGTGTGCATGTGTGCTCCATTTGCATGAGTGGCGTGTGCGTGTGCACACACACAAATGGAGCTGCGCGTACCCATGCTTGCCAGCCACTCACACAGGATTCCCATTCCACCTCTGCCCCCACAAAGCCAGAAAGGCTGGGGAACTCTGATCAAAATTATTTCCTGCATTACTTGGTGACATACTAACGACACTGTGCAGATAAAGTATTGATTACTTACATCTAATCCTGGTTCCCCTATCTTTCCCTGCATTATTAAAAAGGAGAAATAGACAACATTGATGACAGTGGAATAGCACATTAACTGGGTTATGTTAAGTCTATAATTTATATAAAAAAATACCAAATCCATGTATCTTAGATTTAGCTTCAATGGGAGAATTAAGCAATATCCTATCTATCTACTACTAATTTCTGTGTTTACTGCATTAGGATTACACAAACCTTTATACAGGCTAACTTTAGGGTCATCTGTCATTTTAGGAGGGCAAAAAGAAAGCAAACATGATAAATATTTTTAATTATTTTTGTAGATGCTTTTTTCCCCAATTACAAACATAGATAGATTTTCTCCTATATTTGATTCAGGCAACCTGGCTAAAATACATCCCTGAATTTAAATCTATAAGAATTGGTGCATACCCTACTACAACTGTTTGCTTCATGACAGAGAGCTGCCTTTATACAAATGTAGATCCCTTCAGTAGATACAAGAGTTTCGTGCAGAATCAAATGCCCAGTGATTTTTCATGACGGTCTGTTGTGGTAAAGTGATACTAAATATATCCAAAATGCATTATTTAGATGACTTTATAGTACATTAAAAAGGAGCAATGCATTTTAACATTTTTTTTTAAAAAAAAATATGTTTCCGTTCCTACCTTCTCCCCTTTGGTACCTGGTAAACCAATAAGTCCAGGAGTGCCTGGAAGACCCTAGAGAAAATGAAAATTATCAGAAAGATTTGGGATTTTACTGCTCTACTGGGCAGGTTTCATAAAACTCTGTTACTCACATGTGGCCCAGGGACACCTTTTTCACCTTTATGGCCACTTTCACCTTTTGCACCCCTCGGACCATCTGAGCCCTAAAGGAAAACAAATGTTTTGATTAGACTTTCACATAATCACATGCTATTTAATAACCTGCTTTATTTCTGCTTCATAAATCAGTTATGTTTGCATGGCACCCACTTTTCTCGAGGGAAATGTAAAATGGAATATTCTTTAAGAAAAATTGCCATTCTTCTAACTCTTCATTTTATCTTCAGAGAGCCAGTTTGATGGCATAGTTAAGGTATCAGGCTGGAAACTGGGAGACTGTGAGTTCTAGCCTGCCTTAGGCACAAAACCAACTCCCACTCAGCCCTAGTAAGGAGATAATGGCAAACTACTTCTGAAAAAAAAAAAAAAAAGAGCTTTCCAAGAAAGCTGCAGGGAGAATCAAGAATCTGAGAATCAAGCACAATTAAATGGAAGGAAAAAAAGAAGAAAAAGACCCTATTCATTAGAGGAAAAGAATCTGCATTTTTTTCAGTTTCCTGTTATAATAGTAATTGAAAAATTACTATTGAAAAAAATTCATGCCAAAATTTTGTCCTCACTGAAGCTAAACATACCTCCCCCCAAAAAGCAACAAAAATAATCTCCGTATAATCAGTAGAGAAACTCTTATATAAATCAGTGTGTTTTTGTTCAACTGACACCTGAGAAAGTTATTCTACAATGTTTGTTAGTTTTTTCCAATATTTAATACATTTCAAGACTGTTTACTAGGAAATAAACAAATGAAAGGCGTGCTCCCTAGCACTGCATGTAGAACTGAAACCCTTCTTTAGAGAAAAAAAAATTAGAAGAATTTGCAAATACCCTTATTCCCGATCAAACACTCCTTTGTAAGTACGATGAGATAGATGTATGTGCCTAATGATTTCTTTCCAAACTCTATGCTAAATATACAGAGGTTTTGCATCAGAACAGGTTTGAAATTCGATTTTTATATAATATGCTCCCTCAGTTTGAGTCCTGATTTAGGTGAACGTTTCCATAGACTTCTTGAAAAATCTCTCTGAAAAATTATTGCAAAAGTTGTTTTATCAAAGAAATAAACTGCTGTTGACTTCATCTACTAAATCCATAATCATAATTGACCACTAAATCCTCATCTAAATGAACTATTTTTCTTCAAATCAATGTTCTATTATCAATTAACTTCTCAATGTCTATGGTTTTCTTCTTGCATTCAAGATCCACTATACAATATGACCTGTTATGTTTTTGTTTGTCAATTTAGAGGTAGACAGATTGACCATGGGTAGGCAAAAAAGTAGTGGGAATGGGAGTGACTTCCAACTTCCTGCTATCTTCCACATTGACTTTGCTTTTGGGAAGCTGGTAGGGAGTATCAGAAATCACAGTCTCGGGATTGAAGCTGCCTGCGGCAGTGCAGCAATGGAAACAAGTATGCAAATACAATTGGTCAGAAGATCTTTGATTTTCTATGCATTCTGTAAATTAGCAGATTTGAGGTACCTTGATTCAGAAATGGTTGCCCTTTGATACACTGTTTCAACTCCTTGAAAGATAAACATACAGCAGAGTTTAGCAATATATATAGATTCAAACTTTTTATGACACACCTTTTGTCCTTGAATTCCTTGAGGGCCCTGTAAGATAACAATAGAACATTTGAAAATAAAACCCTTTTAAAGATATAAGTTTATATCTAATAAAAATATTCAGATTTCTATGTTAGTAATCCACTTGTATCCCTTCTCTCACTGAAGGCTCTTCAGTTCAGTAGAAGATTATCTGGAATGGGAAGATGTTTTCTCATTGTTCTTTGGGACAGCTTCACTGTTGAGACAATGCTTGCCCACTCTTAGTTTTCTTTTCAGAAGAGGCTAAAATTGAACTATTCCAAACAATCTTTGTAGACCATCAGGGTTTGAAAGCTGGAAGTGAGTTTTTAGGTCTTGTTATTAGGTAATCTGTAACACTGCCCCAGGACAGGATGCAGAGCTTGGTCATAAAAAATGGATCCCTAAGTGGCCTGCAGAATTTAGCTCCATGTACTGCTATTGATACATATACAGGGTCTCCAAGTAGCAACTTTAAAGGGTGTTTTGATCGAGACAATGTAGTGTGACCTATGAGCAGAGGATACAGACTCATAGAATGGTTGAATCAGATGAAGAGACGATAACTCAGCAAATGATATTCCTTTGGGAATTTTATAAATAAATATATATTCCTTTTGGAATTTTATAAATAAATAAAATGAAGTGATGTCATGCATTACTATAATGGCCATCAACGTGACACATATTAGTAGAAACATGTGTACTATTGTCCCAGGTTTAATTATTAAGGACTCACCTTATGTCCTTGTATTCCTTGAGGACCCTAGAGACAATAAATATTCATTTGAAAAATATTCTAAAATAGTATTGGGGGTTTGAAACATTTGTGCTCAAAACGTTAGCATTACAAAGCCGAATTTCTGCAGCCAATTCTAGACATTTCCAAGATAACTTATACTTGCTGGGAACAAAGTTGTTGCACATCAACATTTGTGGGGCCCTATTATTCATTCATGTTATTATTATTATTAATATTAATGTTATTATCAATCCCCAGTATTAATTCTAAATGTTTGTTACCTTGGTATGCATGAATACTTCACATTGTATTCAAAACTATTTCCTAAATTTTATCTCTCAGATATATGGGAAAACTACTAAGAGATATTTACTTATATTTCTAAGCCAATGCATCAGGCTAAGGTATATCTTCATGATCACCAAAACAAACAAAAACATGTTAAAGGTGGGTTTGGCTCCCAAAGATCGATTCTGAATGTATTATTCTGGATGTATCATTCTACATCCATCCAACAGCAAGAGACACAAATAGGCATTTAATTCTAGAAGATCTTTAAGCATTGTACAAGTAATCCTTGGGTTATCACCCTAAGTGGGACTAGGATTTCCACCAGTAAGTGAAGCAGTAGTTAAACTCATGTAGAAGTTGCTAGCCCTTTTTGAACCCTTGCAGGAACAAGGCTGGGCTAAACAAACAGACTCTGTGAGTATGTTGTGTTGGCACAGAGCTTGCCGCCACCCCTTCCTGAAGTCCACAGGCCAGTTCCTTAGGAGCACTTCTGTGAGAGTTGAGGAGCACCTGCTGTGCCTCACTGAAGCCCTCTACTTCTTTCAGTTCCATCACCACACAGTCTATGGACTATCGCTCCCTGATGCAGAAGATGGGGCAGCTCTGACCGCACTCCTGCTCTGCCTCCTCTGCTGACTATGTCCTGCTGTATCCTCCCTGGCTGGGCCTGGTGAGCTCTCTTGGACAGATGAGGCTCCGATGACATGTGGCACTCGCTGTACATATCCTGAGGATGCATCCTTGTCTAGACCCTGGAACCTGGGTCAGCCGTGGGTGAAGAAGATGGTGAAGATCAGCAGAAGGCAGTGGCAGTGGAAGGCGCCAAGGGTAGCCAAGCCAAGCAGGATGGCCCAAAAGTCAGATATTGTGACAGATAGGCAGGTGGGGAGGGGAACTTGAAGCAGAAGCAGTTCACGCAGGGCAGGAAAAAGTGACCATGGGACGCTGCAGTCAGCTGTAAATGTGGGCTGGTTGCCAAGTGTCTCAAAATTGATTACATGACTGCACTGCAATGGCCAGAATCTTGAGGACCAGTTTTAACTACCATTCATCCAACAATGTCATAACTTTGAATGGTTACTGAATGAATGGACATAACTCAAGGGCTATCTACAAATGTTTGCAACGATCATCAAAGGTTAATTGTCTAATTCAGAGAGATCTGCTTGGTTGGGGGGGTCACATAAATGGCAGAGTTGTCAATATCCCAGCCAAGCTACTTGAGCATGAAAAACGTTCTAGTAACACTTACCATAGGACCTGGTAGACCGGGTACACCAGGAGGCCCTGGTTCAGGTATGATCTGCACGTGTAAATGACATCACAAATCTGAACTGTGAAACCACACATGAAGAAAGATAACTCTTCAAAATGAAAAGTGGGATGTCATTATTGGAAAATAATTCCCCAGCAATTAATAGATGGGGAAATATTTTAAAATTATTCCTCTAAAGAGCAAGCCTGGGTATAGTTAGAGTTTTGTGCAAACCCTGTATCCCCGTATCTTACAGGCTTAAGGATGCCCATCTCTCTTCCTAGAATTGCAATGTTACTATAATATCACGCACTACGTTTCTTGGTACATTTTTCCTGAAATACTCAATGGGTGCAAGTTCTACTACTCAGCAATAAAGCCTGCCAGAAAACAGCAGAAATGCATGATAATGGCATACAACAATCTAGACAAGAATTTCATACATGTGACGCAATCCTGCACCAAAGATAGGCAACTTGTGGTGTTTTGCCTTCTGGTAGGTCTTGAAGCTCTTTCTATCACACAATTAATCACACAATCTCCTGCTATTTTGGAATAAGTAAGAGATAATTATTGCTTCCTAGCTTAAAGCCATATTGCAGTTTAAAACATCTACTATCTTGTGAAAAGGCCAGAATATATGGCCCCATATAGCAGCCTCTCAGTGTCTGGTAACTATAACCATAAAGAGGTTGCCATCTCCAGCTTTATCTTATGACAGTGATGGCGAATCTTTTAGAGACTGAGTGCCCAAACTGCAACCCAAAACCCACTTATGCATCGTCGGGTGCCGGGTAGGTGTGGCCCATTGGCTGGGTGTGACCCATTGGGTGGGCATGACTGCGGTGGTAAGGGCAGGCTGGGTGGGACTAAAAAGTTCAATCAACCAATTCCAACTTTGCAAGATCTTTTTTTTCCCCGCAATAAGTTGAAATTGTCTGATTGATTGAACTTTTTTTTTTTTTTTTGCACACAGCGGCAGAGGCCTAAAGCAAAAAGGTTTTATAAAACCCAGCTGAAGGCCTAGGACTGGGGTGACGGCGCACGTGCCCACAGAGAGGGCTCTGAGTGCCGCCTCTGGCACCCGTGCCATAGGTTTGCCACCACTGTCTTATGATCTTAAACTATTCCTGAATGTAAGCAGCCTTGCCATCCAAAGTAAATGAATAATTTCCAAATAAATGACTTGATTCCAGATACGAAAAAACCCTTAAATGCCCTGAAGACTCAGTGAGTGATCATTTTAATACTTCTATAGGTATTATAATTACATTTTAACTTTACATTTTACTTTTTTTCAACTACCTTATTTATCACATGCTCGGAACAAGGACCAAAATTACGTTTATTATAGAAAATTGGACTACTGCTTTTATAACAAGGCTGTAATATTGCATCTTGGCATATTTTGATAGTCACTTCATATCTGGCAAGTATATATTCGGTTAGTGACAACTTACAAGATTTTGCTCACAGGGTGTCCCAGGTTCTCCTTTAGGTCCATCAATACCCTAAACAGCAATAAGAAATAAAAATAATGATACCTGAGGATAGTTCTAAATAAAAATAAAGGTAAAGTCTGTCTCTGTCTAATTGTTTCTGACTCTAGGGCAGGGGTAAGCACCCTGGGCTCTTTTATGACTCGTGGACTTCAACTCCCACAATTCCTGAGCCAGCCATGCTGGCTCAGGAATTCTGGGAGTTGACGTCCACAAGTCATAAAAGAGCCAAGGTTGCCTACGCCTGCTCTAGGGGGTGGTGCTCATCTCAGTTTCTTAGCCGAGAGAGCCAGGATTGTTCAAAGATGCTTCTGTGGTCATGTGGCCAGCATGGAACATTGTTATCTTCCCACCAAAGTGGTACCTATTTATCTAGTCGCATTTGCACACTTTCAAACTGTTTGATGGGCAGGAGCTGAGCAAGTAACAGGAGCTCATCCTGTTGCATGGTGCTCAAGTCTTGAACCCGGGCTGACAGCTTTCCAGCTGACAAGCTTAGTTTCTTTAACTGCTGAGCCATTGCCCCTTAATTCTAGATAAAGGAAGACAAGTCACTTTGCTTTCTCTGGAAGTGTTATTTGAGCTGATTTTCCAATTAGTCTTCAGCAGAAGGGTTTTTTGGTTTTTTTTGAAGATTGTTTCCTCTTGACTCTTACATCCATAACCAGATGATCACATAGTTTGGGAAAACCTCTCTAACCTATAATGTTATCACAAAGAGAGTCATGTCTCCATAGTGAATGGCAGAGCTGGTCTGATGATTAGGAGTAATGAAATGTTTATTTTTTTGGGAAAACTGGAAGCAACCGTGAGGTGGGCCAAACCCCGTAGCTGCATAAAGAAGCTATTAAGGCACATGGCTCTCTAGGGTAGAAGATTTATTATCATTTAAAATATACTAACATATTTATACAAAGTTTTAACATAGATCCTCTTTGTAGTGGCTTTTATCAAAACATTAACATATAAAGAGTGGAAAAGTCAGTATAAAATGTACTGATGTAATTTCTAACAAGGGGTTTCACTGAAGACTGATTTATCAGAAGGAAAACACTATATGTGATTCCAGTACAGTTAGTGTTACATCCAAATCCAATGCTCATACATATTTTCATAATGCCTTCAAGTAAAAAAAAGATGGAAGATATATGTAAATGGGTGTGAATGAGCCCATTTTTTGTTTATGCAAATTGGGAGGATTGTTGGTGTTGCTGAAATGTGTAGGTTGGTTGCTTGATTGCTATGTTATTTATAATTTTGTTTATTGTTTTAATTCTGTTTTTAATGGTTAGCTGCCTTGGTTCATGTACTTGTGATGGGCAGCCACATACAGTACATTAAACGAACAAAGTAAACAAATCTATATTGTACACGTCTGACATTTGTAAGTTTTTAAATAGCAAAAATGATTTCAAAACATCTCTTGTATTGAGGATTGTTCCTTTTATGATTGTGGCTTCTTGATTCCAAATTTTACATTGATCACTTTCTACTCCCAAATCTGGCCTTATATTGTATTGGAACAGAAAAGAGAAAGAAAAAGTGGACTTTAGTGCAACTGAGTGCCAAGATCAGAGTGAACTTTTAAGAAAAATGGCTGACTTAAAACATAAAGAGAATGGCATAAAAGGCAGGATTGTATAGATCAGACATGTCAAACACAAGGCCCGGGGGCCGGATGCAGCCCGTAAAGTGATTTCATGTGGCCTGCGAAGCCATCCTGGAAACAGTGAGGGAATGGCCCCCACTGCCTTGGCCCTGGCCCAGGAGCCAATGTACAATTTTATGGTGGACATCTATGCTGAAACGCATTCAGTCTTAGTTCCACAAGGCCATCTAGAAACAGTGAGGAACCAGCCCCTGGGTGCATGCTGGGGAGGTGTCACCCTTTGTGAGGAATAAAGAAATGGACCATGCCTTGGCACTTGCCCTGGTCCCACCCCCTTCTGCCAGAGACCCTCAGATCTGTCCCACTCCTGCCCAGGCCCCCACAGGCACCCTTGATGCAAATGATGTAGAGCTGGCCATGCCCACCCAATAGGCCACACCCACTCCATCCATGCCCACCCAGTAGGCTGCACCCACCCTGACCGCACCCACCCGGCCCCCCGAGGGCAACCACAATGCTGATGCGGCCCTCAATGAAATTGAGTTTGATATCCCTGGTATAGATTCTGGATGTTTCATCATAATAGTAGAACAGAATTATCATTGTTTGTTAGATAGTTGATCTGAAAATCTTCAAACTAAAGCCACAGATATACAACTTCGCAACTAACAACAAATGTTTCTCAGGTGATACTTAGCCTTAGGATTACAACCCATGTTTTTTAACCTAATTCAAAGTTATGTTCATGTTTTTCTGCCACTAATGGCAGTGAGAAATATGCAATCTGCACTATATGGTATTTGTGGCCTCATTCTTCCTCCAATTAAGCCTTGAGAAGTATAGGAGATGACCAGGCTGAACCTGAGGGAGGAGGTCAGATGCGTCATCAGTCTTGAGTTCCTTCACGCCCACAAGAGATCTAAGTCCAGCCCACCTTGAATTCCACTGACTCTTATCTACCACCAAATTGCTTGGTCGGTTAGTAGTTCAGATTTGTCTAAAGAGCTAAAGTTTGCAATAAATGTTTATACCCATTTGAACTGCCTGGGCCTTCTGACTTCCCTAACGCTTGACATATAGCTGGGAATAAAGGGAAACAAGCATCCCTCCTTCCAACAGCCCCAAAAGCAAAAACTGTTCAGTGGGAACATCACAGATTTCCCCTTCCTTCTACAACCCTGTTTAAAATGGGGAGGGGGGGGAAGCTGAGTGAATAGTGTCTGTATATGGTGGGTGCCTGCATGAGAGTCAGAAAAAGAAAAGGTGTAATATGGTTAAGAGGAACATCTTGAGAAGATGGCTCTCCTAGCAATCCGTGTAACTGTGGAGGCTGAGTAGATGGCCTACCTATGCTGTAAAAGAGAACCCGGTAATAATCTCTCAGGGTGGCTTTCTTAGCAAAAGTTCAAAAGATCCTGATCTATAGAATTCACCAGTAAAAAAAAAAAGGCTTGTTCTGCTATAGATTTCTGTTATAAGCAGCCATATATTGTACTGAAGGCAGATCATACCGGAGGACCAGACAAGCCCATTTCTCCTATCTCTCCTTTGTCTCCCATTATTCCAGGGTTTCCTTGCTCTCCTTTCAATCCTTTGGGGCCCTGTAAGTTATGAAACAAAAGTATGACACACTGTTAATGGGCCAAACACTTTATCTCACCACCATGGATTTCCCTCTTGATCTTCTAAGTTCCTCCCTGAAAAAGACTGAGGAGATTAGCCGAAGAAGTTTTGAAGAGGAACTATCAAGCAATATAGTATTTCTGGAAGATAACCTTTAAAAAGTTCCTATAAACTGGATTAACTTACCAGTGCAGCCTAATACAAATTATTTTCCAGCCTTTCAACAAAGAACTTGTATCTGTCACTGCCATTTTTTTCAGAATCTCGTTATATATATTTTTTTGGGGGGGCATAGGAATATAACAGTGGGCTCAAATTATACCGCAGAATGCAGATTTGCAAAAAGAAAGGATTTGAGGTCAAATCTATCAATCTCAGGAATCTGAATTGAGAAGCAAGAAAAATGAAAGGGGAAAAATGAGAGGGTAATATATGCTTCTTACATATTAGTTTTTGGAAACTCTCCAGATGGTATCAACTTTATTAGGAAGTGGAATAAAAAAACTTGAGTACCAAAACAAAGCATTAAGAATAAACTACAAGTAATGCAAAGATTTCTGCTTTTAAACTGAGAATTGCAGTAGCAGATGTCTCTCTAGAGCACGCATGTCAAACTCACGACATCACGTGACATCGTGCGACGTATCACGACTTTTTCCCCATTGCCAGCAATGGGGTGGGTGCGGTTTCAGCGTGACGCATCCAGCCCGCAGGCTGGCAGTTTGACATGCCTGCTCTAGAAGAGCAAAATACTAAAAGCTGAAGGAACAGTGGTCACTCTAAATCCCTGCCGCTGTTGTCTAATGGTAAGGAAATTCTTCCACTTGGTTGCTAAGCAAAAAGCAAAAAATAAAATAAAATAAATAAATCTGCAATTTGGTATCAAAATCACAGTATAGGTAATCCTCATTTACTGACCACAATAAGGCTTGGCATCGCTAAGCAGTATGATTGTTAAGCATGATGTCATGTGACTAGACTGACTTTACAGCATCAGTTCTGTTAGTTCCAGCTGCAGTCGTTAAATAAATCAATGTGGGTGATTAAGCACAACATCAGATGACCATGACTTCACACTTCCTGCTGGCTTCCCCATTGACTTTGCTTGTTGGATCATGAAGGTTGCAAATGGATATCACATGTGCACAAAATGTTGGGACTATTGTAAATGCGGTCCAATTGCCAACACCCAAATCATAAACATGACTGTAGGGATACTAAGTCAGTTGCAATTTTGAGGAACAGTTGTGAATCTCCTTTTTCAGTGCTGTTGTAACTTCAATCAGTCACTGAAGGAGTGGTCAGCAAGTGAGGAATATCTGTACTTTAGTGGACCAATTGTAGACTAGCATTGAATTTTAGGATTGTTTTCACGATGAGAATGAGATCACTTTGCTTCCATGCATATTTCTCTCCCTAAAACCCCAAATCCTACAGAAAGTATTTGGCCCAGCCCCCTCTAAGGATGTCACTCAATGGTATGGATTGGTTAAAGCAGCATTTCTCAACCTTACCAACTTTAAGATACCTGGACTTCAATTTCCAGATTTCCCCAGCCGGGGAATTCTGGGCGTTGAAGTCCAGGCATCTTAAAGTTGTCAAGATTGAGAAATGCTGTGTTGGAAGCTGCCACTCAAGTTTAATAAAAAAAAAAATTAAGATACAGACGCACAGGTAAACCAATCATGCCCATTTCTCCAATCTCTCCCTTCTGTCCTTCTAGTCCAGGGCTTCCTTGATCTCCCTTTGACCCTTTCAATCCCTGTAACATAAACGAAAAGTACATGGGGTTTAGTTCAAAGGATTTGTTTTCAGAACTTCTCAGAGATACAATAAATTCTGTTTACAGAGGAAACTCCGGTTTACGATCAAATGCTGATGATAAAAGAATAGAACAAAATTTCTCAGATGGGAAAATAATTCCTCAAGATATTGTTATCATACACTTTCCGGCACAAAATTTATCATTTTGGATCAAACTTGTAATCTCATAGTGGAATGGCTAATAAAGAGCCAGATGGGCAGCTAAACCAGATAGTGTTGTTACTGCAGTCTTTTGTTGTGCTGGGCTGGGGAGGAGAATGAGTTGGGGAGGGGACATTAATTTTCAGTGGATTACTTACTCTGGGAGAAGATGGACTGCAATTATCAGCAAGGTTCCAGAGAAATATTTGCTCTGCTATTTGTTTTTTGCCACGTAGGGTTCTTGTTTCTCTACAAAAGCCTAATAAGTCTCTTTCCCCATGAGACCAAGGCTTTTGAATAGACCAAGGCTTTTGGTAGAACTTTCAGTATTTACTTCTTGGATAATATAGCCTGTTAGTGAAACTTCCAGTATATACTTCTGCAAGATGTCTTCAAAGACATCTTAATGGTATGCAGCTACATTCACATTCTGCAAAGGTTTAATTCCATGGTAGCTTATGAACCAAACTCTGAATAGCTCAGGAAATTTAAGGGCTTTGCATTCAAGTGCTATGTAAATCCTTTGCTTCTGTACAATACCAAGCGTCACTCTTCAAATTACCAAAAAAGCTACAACGTATTTCTTGGTAAGCTGGAAAAATGTGGAATAGACAACATCACCACCAGATGGATTTGTAGCTGGCTGGCAAACTGTACCATTGAGTAGTCTTCAATGGTACTACATCACATGGAAAGAAGTAAGCAGTGGGGTACCACAAGGCTCCATCTTAGGCCCAGTACTCTTCAGTAATTTCATAAGTGACTTAGATGAGGGAAAAGAAGGGGAACTCATCAAATTTGCAGATGACACAAAAACTGAAAACTAAAACATGTGAAGAACAGCTGCAGAGCTTGGGTTTGGCTAGTCTAAAGAAAAGAAGAAATAGGAGTGACATGATAGCAGCATTCCAGTATTTGAGGGGCTGCCACAAAGAAGAGGGGATCAAATTATTCTCCAAAGCACCAGAGGGCAGGACAAGAAACAATGGTTGGAAACTAATCAAAGAGAGAAACAACCTGGAATTAAGGAGAAATTTCCTAACAGTGAGGACAATATATCAGTGGAACTGCTTGCCTTCTGAAATCATGGGCGCTCCATCACTGAAGGTTTTTAAGAAGATAGACAGTCACTTATCTGAAATGGTATAGATTCTCCTCTTTGAGCAGGGGGCTGGACTAAAAGACCTCCAGGTCCCTTCCAGTTCTATTCTATTCTGTTCATATCTTTTTTTCACAGCTTGCTGCTTTGTAAAGAGCACCAAGCTCTCCAGTAGTTGTGAAGGGCTTCTTTTGAAAACTTTGTACAGCCCTGTTAAAATGATTTTGACTATCTGATAAGATAAATTTGTATACAGCTAAAGCTTGCCTGATTTTTAGTCAGCCCTTTGTAGAATGGGCTTTGTAGAATGTTTGTCTTTTGATTTCTAACTTTAACTTCCAGAGTTTCTTCCTTTGTTTTATTTTCTTTTTTAATGTAAATTACATCTGCTGGGCTTCACAAAATGAGAGAGAAGTATGACAAGTAAAAAAGTTGCTCTTTCTGTTTATTTCTGTCTGTAATGTTTGCTCAGAATGGCAATAAACAGGCCTATGTTTATAAAGTTCATTTCCTCATAATCCCTTGAAGATTCCAACTGTTTTAATAACTTTGACAATTACAGTGCAATCTCTTAACTATTTGATTCACTGCACTTACAGCTAGCAAAGTATAGAACTGTAGCCATTTTCTATTTTAAAATAAATTCAGCCAAATATTTTCATAGTGAACATACATCTTGAAACATACCCTTTCTCCGTCAACTCCAGGTGGACCAGGCAAGCCAAGCTCTCCCTAAAATATTACAAAAAATGAATAAATCAGGACAAAAGGGATAGTCTGAATCGAACCAGTTCAAAGTAAATTCTACAAAAAAACTTTTATTTTCTTTGACTAAGTATTACAGGATTCTCAAAGCTTGAAGAGCTGTCAATAAAGCTAGATATTTCAGTCAAAGCACCTGGTTTCTTCAGATTGCAATTTTATGTCCACTTACCTGAATTAATGGCTTTGTATTTTCAGAATTAAAACAACCATTTAAACTTAATTTAAACATCTTCCAGCTGTAACATCTAAACAAAGGAAATCTTTCAAGTTCGAAGTGAGTAAAAAAAAAAAGATCTTGGTGAGTATAAAATCACATTTGCTAGACTTCATTTATGCTGTTTTTGCTGTTTTTCAGTAAGTTGTTAGATCTTCAATAAATAGCTATTAAGACCTCTACCAGCAACTATTGCTGAAATCCAAGTAATCATATAAACAAACCTAATGCATGTATTACCATATAAATTAAAATATATAAATGACCCAAAGATTTCTGATGCTTGCTACTTGTATATCTCTACATACTGATCTTCAAAACTCATCAACGACCTGATCAATTCTCAAAGGAACTGTGTCATTAATAGAATAACCCACACAAATAAGTCAATAATTGTGCCACCAAATGGCCGTTGGGTAGAACAGGGATGTCCAACCTTGGCAACTTTAAGACTTGTGGACTTCAACTCCCAGAATTCCCCAGCCAGCAAGGTTGGCCACTCTTGGCCTAGGCTAACATATTTTGCTTTAAAGGAACTGAGATCTAACCTTTGGTCCTGGAGTGCCTTGAGGCCCTGGTTCCCCTTGAGGCCCTGGTGGTCCCTGAAAGAAAGAAGAAGGATTTTGTTGCTGTTGTTAACACTAATATTTAAGAAATATCAGGGCACAAAGCAAGTATGGGACAAATGTGCATTTAAAAAAAGTCTTGTATAAAACATATCAATGTATCATGCACGCATGATCAGGATTGAGGTGGCACTGGAGGCTCAGCTATCTGAAAGCTCATATGCAGAGACGTCTACATATGAACAGTTGCTTACACAGAGGCTTTCACCCAACTGGATTCCCATCATATGGAAGCCCACATGTGAATAATTGCTAATGTAAAGGTTAGGCCACTACAGAAAAATTACAAGGGGATTGCAGTCCCATTCCTGATAACAGTTATGAACGTGTGATTCATGCATTAAATAGGCTATACAAGGGTAAACTAATGATCTCATGATAATTTGATTATTCATGTAAAATAGTTTGAAACTAGGTTATCTAAATTATAATGCCTTTTGTCAATGAAGACAGTCATGGGAAATTCTTGGATTTTTTTGGAGAGAAAGATAGTGGAAAACAGAATTTAGTTATTCAAGATTATTTTCTCTATAATATGGGAAATATTTTTCCCAGTTACCCTGAAAACAAAAATACAAGTCAGAGTGAATATGTTCTAATAATCAGATTTTCACTATCATCTAAAATGTAAATTGGGAATATTTAATCTAATAGCCATCTCTGGTATGGTGGAGTCAAGTCATTTTGGGCCCTTGACTAAAATAAAGTCAAGTTTCCTGTTCTAAAATGATAAAAACTAAGCAGTGTTAACTAGTGGTCCACTTTTCCTCCAAGTGTTTAGAACTTGAATTATGTTGGCTGGCTGTTAATGGGGGTATCAAGAGATCAGAATGCTGTACTGGATTAATATAAATGACAGGCATCGGTCAAGTCAAAGCTAAGTAGTAATATTAATTTCAGTAATGAGTAAAAAGCTTTCTCATATTAAGCACTGCCAGTTACTTTAGTATCAAAATGATTGTAGCATTACTCACTAAACTTCAGAAAGCTAGAGAAATACAAACCAAAGTAAACAATGCCTTCAGATTTGGATCTGTGTTATTAACCAAATGTTTAGCAGAAGTTTTGTTAATGATCGCAATCCAGAAATCCAAGGCAAAAAAGCCACAGGCTGGGCCATTCCAACAAACCAATCCAAGAGAGCATCTGGCATGCCACAATTACCGTCAATCTGGGTTTCCCCACAGCCTGTTATAAAAGAATTAGGATGGTTTTCAAATGTACTCGACCCAGCTAAAAGAGTAGTTTTGAAGGATGGCCTTCTTCCAGTGGAAAATAGTATAATCTGGGCAAACTTGTTATCAGAAAATATTACTGCTTTGCTTTTATCTATTGATCTATTGAAGTTTTGTTCCTGGGTGGTGGTGGGTAAAAACTCCACCCTGCAGCAGTTTTCCACCCCCGCCTCTTCCTCAAGCAGCTTACTCTGCCTCCCCTTTACTTTTAGCATTCAGGGAAGGCCGTGCCTTTACATGTTCTTAAGTTGCTCTTTGGCCAGAGAACCGGTTGTTAAATTATTTGAAACACCACCACTGCTGTGCATCCTTCCTCCTCTTCCCCAAGCCTTTACTCCCAGAACAAATCTTAATTGTTGTGTATTTATATTTAGGAACAACTATATTCTGTCCGGGAAGCACTGCAACTGCCTTTCCAAATTCAGAAACAACACTGAGATAGCAGGCAGCACAATGCTAGAAAGAAAATATTAAGATTTGTATCAGACTGGCATGAGCTGAGAACATGTAGTAGTGAAGGGCCTGGTGTGCCCCAACCCATCAGAGTAGGGAAGCAATGTATATTACATTGGCGTGAAGGTGATGGTCTATGCATGCAACTAAAGATATATGCTTGAAGAGGTGCAAGTGCAGATGTGAAACAATTGGTATCTAGTTCTCTTTGGTAGGATGGGTTTCACTTCCATTATATGTAGTCCTGGCCGGGGGGGGGGTATTTCTACTTTGCTGTAAGCATTGATTAATGGACTTTTTGGGCCATGGCTTACATATTCAAAGTTAGCTTACTAAATCTTATGCTGAAAATATATATCTTGTGGTCATACATTGATTTTAGTTTTTCTAAAAGTGCCTGAGTGTTCAATGAGAGAAGCAGAGTACATTATATGGGTTTCTGATCTTATATTTTCATGTATCTGATAACACAAGCTCTTACGGTTTTTAAGTTATTTCAGCTAGTGTGACTATCAATCTTGGAATGTCTGGAAAGCATCAATTCTATCTATCTATCTATCTATCTATCTATCTATCTATCTATCTATCTATCTATCTATTATCTAGCTAGCTAACTATTATCTAGCTATCTCCATCCATCCATCCATCCATCCATCCATCCATCCATCCATCCATCCCCTTATATATAATACTCCTTTATTTACACGATGAATTCATTAGTTCGGGGAATTGTATGATCATATTGTATCATGCATGTTACCTTGAGAGCTTCCAAGATTCTACCGTCATAGTCAATTACTACAGTATCACCCTGTTCTCCTTTTAGGCCTGGAGGTCCCTGAAAAGAAAAAGTTATTGCAAGTTTTATGCTAACAGGCACAACACTCTACTAGTCACATACTATTAGGGTGCCTTAGTAAGTTATTATCCACTGGAGGGAAGAGTCAAATATCACCTACATTGCTAAAGTCCCAAGCAGGGCCTAGCTGTTGATTGCCATGATCTCAAGCTTGCTATTTTTAAAGACAATTAATTATCTAACCCAGCTTCTTTTCAAGAGTGGTGATAAAGCTGTAGAACTCCTTTTCATAGTAAAATTTTAAAGTCCCTCTTAAGACATTTTGTTAATCTTTTTGTTGTTCACTACATGAACTTCGAACCATCGAAGATGAAATGGAGCTTTATTCTGTGAAAGGAACTTTACAGTATGGATGTTATTGCTCAGAAAGGTACCAAAATTGCTTCCAATTGCACATTTCCATTCATGGAGAATTTTTTAATAATAATAAAAAAGCATCTGTAAATGGAGGAAAAGAGGGCAATTTTATTGATACCCACCTCCCCCCCCAATCTATTACATCTTTCCTGGGGATTTAGTAAGTATCTGAACCATATGAGAAATAAAAGAAGTGTCTTCTCCAACTGGGCAATTTTCAGATGAACTGAGACTGTAGTTTTTTCATTTGCTAAGAGCTGGGAGGATCCCAACCCACTTTTTGTAAAGTTGGAAAAACTTTGCTATAGGAAAAAGGAATAATTTCTTCAAATTTATCTTCTGTTCCTGTAAGGCTCTAATCAATCTAAAAGGGTGGATGTGATTTTGATATTGTACTTATTTGAAACCATATTTGAAAATATATGTGTATACAAAACAGATTCTGCCAGTACTTGTTGTAATCCTTTGTATTTATATGTCCCACACAAATACCAGATTTTAAGAATTCCTTGAAAACATTTTCATGTCCAAAACATTTATATTAATTGTAACTTTTATTTGAATTAGTCTGTAGGTCAAACAAAGTTTTGTACAATAATATTCATAATTAATATATTGTATATTCTTCCCAGCTTCGCTTAAACTACTGGAAAGTGATAAATTGTGGGTTATGAATTTTAAGGCACTAAAAAAGAAGAGGAAATCCATACCCGGGGCCCAATATGACCATCTGCTCCCTTCTCACCAGGTTCACCCTGAAAAATAAACAAAAACAATAAAGAAGATTAATTTAGAACAAAGATGGAGAAATTGACCATGCTGACTTGAGCTGTTGGAGATTTAATTCCGTTAAAATTTGGAGAGTGACTTTCCCCACCTAGTTTTAAAAAAAACAGATTAATATGACTTGCATCTGGAGGAACACAATATTATCAGCAGCAGCAGCAGCAGTTTTAAAAAGCTTTCAACATAATCTAGTTGTAAAATAAACCAGACAGATCAGATTCAAGACACACAAGCCTCTTACAAACATGAATTTTCTGAATATGTACGATTATGTATATCACATGGCTGGAAAGCCAAGCAGTTTTAAATAACTATCCAATTTAACTGACAAAACAGCAAAAAGAAAACATGACAGTAATCTCAATGCTACAACTAGGAATGTTGCCGCATTTAAAAGGACACTGCCTTCAGGCATTTTGAAGTATTACTTTCTTCCACTTAAAAGCACAAAGAAAGCCATAATCAGTTTTATTATTCAATTTACAAGCACTAATTCAAGTCAAAAGGGTGATTAAATTGGCCCTGTATAAACAAATACCTAAAGAATAAACGAACAAATAAACAAATTTAACATGTACGTGAGACTGGAGTGAGAGGTCATCCAATAGAACTGGATTTGTTATCATCAGGACCTTGATGGTATCACAGCTATACTTTATCAAACCTGGCTGACCAAGAAATGCTGTCTTGATGCTGGCCCACTGCCTGGATGCTGTAAGGGTTTGAATGGGGAGGAATTGGCTTCAACTCAACCATAGCGAGGCAGAGAACTTCTGGTGAGGAATCATCTTTGACTCCAGCTGTGAATAATTTGGGGTTCCTCCTAGATTCATGGCTCCTGCTCAGCAGGTAGCAATTGTGGCTGTGGTGTATGTGTCTTTGCACATATTCATTTGTGTACCAATTGCACTCATTCTTAGACTGGGAGACCTTGCTCATGGTCCTTCACGCTCTGGTGATTTCCTAGTTGGATTACTAAATTGTGCTCTATTTGGGGCTGCTCTTGAATACCAGATGGAAATTACAATTGATCTAAAATATGATGGCATGGACAGTTTTTGGTACCCTATAGCTTACCCATATTATCAGAAAATATTACTGGGGGAACTGCAGTGGTTCCCCATTTCTTCCTGGATGTGATTCAAGATTATCATCTTTAAAAACTGAATAGCACAAGGGCAAGTTATTTGTGGTGCCACCCTTTGTTGAGAATATCTGCCCATTCATCTAGGGCTGATAGGATGGGTGCACTCCAGATCCCTTTCTTAAATGTTTGCTTATTAAATTTATTTGCTGCCCATCTTGCTGTCACATGAATCTGGGCGTATTACAATCTTACAATCAATGTTGCCTTTTGTGGGACCTAGGCAGGATGCCTTTTTGGTTATAGCTCTATCTTTTGGAGCAATCTTTCCCCTGAGATCTGATTTTCTAAAAATAGCACTAGCACTAGCCCTTAAACTTATATACCATTCCATAGTGCTTTACAGCAGTGCTTCTTAACCTGGGCAATATCGCCCCCCCAGGGGGCAATTTCATTTTTCAGGGGGGTGATGGAACAAAAAGGGGCGATGTGGGGACAAAGGAACGAAAAGGGGGCGATATGAGGGTGATGGAGCGAGACGCTTTGGGGACACTTTTGAGACTTTTTCATACAGTGAATCGCTGTGTATCTGTCGTACAAAAACATCAGATTGCTCACTATTAGTGGATTGAATTGTGTTTTCAAATGTTCCTCCAGCTAGCTTCAGTACAGAATGCTGTACATATGTGAATACGCATTGCTTATCTTCATGCGCGTTGTGCAGCAGCCTCTACCCTTTTTATATTTCTTTTTGCATCTTAAATTTCACTTGTAATTCAATCATTAAATATTACTGTTTTTCTTTTCAGGCATTTCATTTTCTTGCAGTTAAATTTTGTTTTCAGTGGTCATTACATTTAAGTGTCTTGAATAAATAAGATAATAATGAAATACATGTATCACAAAGTTTGGGAATAAAGTGACAGGTGGCACCAAAATTTTTCACACAGTTGAGATATGGGAAAAAGACTGGAAATAAATTATTTGCATCAATATGTCCTGATGACAATTTTAAAGAAAACAAAACAAGTGTTTGCATAAATTGAAGAATTATTTCCTATGTTGTGATTGAGAGGTTATGTTGGAGAAGGGGGGGGTAATGACAACTTCCTCATTGGCTCAAGGGGGCGATTCGTTCAAAAAGGTTAAGAACCACTGCTTTATAGCACTCTTTGGTTGGTTTGCAGAGTCAGCATATGGCCTCCAATAATCTGGATCCTCATTTTACTGACCACAAAAGGATGGAAGGCTGAGTCAACCTTGAGCCGGTGAGAATCGAACTCCTGGCAGTGGGCAGAATTAGCCTGCAATACTGCATTCTAAGTACTGCACCACCAAAAAGACTCAGAGATCTGGCTTGTCTCATAAGAGTTGGGGTAATGTGAGGCTGGAGCCCAGTAAAAGTCTTTGGGGTGGAGGGATGTGTCACAGTTGGGGTTGCTGGGAGTTTCTGTGTTATGTTTTTTTAAAATTGTGTTTATTATTTATATTGTGGATTGTGAGTTACCAAGCTTATGTTGCATACATTGAGTTGCTATATAAATCTAATAAATAAATCTAGTTTCCTTTATGCCATGATTCATTTAATAATATGTACGACTCATGTGGAACTATGGAATCAACCCTCAAACATTTCATTTCAACAATAAAGACAGTAAGAGGAGTATTCATCCATAATGGGTTCTTCTTGTCCACAGAAGTGAATGGCACCTCAGAGATATTTATTTTGGGTCTTCTCTGCTTCCTTTTTCTAGTCTCTTCTTTCAGCAAGAGAAAGTTAAAGGAACACCTGGCGGCTGAGTGGTTCAGAAAGGAGAATGGTGTCAGTAGCAATCTTACCATTCTGCCATTTCCAGAATGAAAATCAGTCGATGTGTTAATCATACCATGCTTTTCTCATGCTCTCCTTACCTTTGGCCCTGGTAGCCCATCTATGCCTTTTTCTCCCTTTCCGCCAATGCTTCCTGGTTCTCCCTGCAACATTTGAAAGAGGCCCAATGGAAAAGAGTTGTCAAGCAAGTCAGCATTCAGCTGTAGTAGCCTTTCCCTTTTCTTACTTTTGGCTCTGTAGCTTGTTTGTGCCCTTTTTGCCCCCTGGGCATAACCTGCCTCGCATACTCCACCTGTTTTCAAGAGCAGCAGTTGAAGTGGAAAGAAAGTTTCCAAGCATCAATTAGCTAATTTAATCCCAGGCATCCCAAACCTGTAAACTCTGAATGCCTATTTACACCTATTCTTCAATACTGGCCAATGCTTCCTGCTCTTCCAAACACCATGGAAAGAGATTTTTGTACTATAAAAGTACAGAAGAAAGCCAATTGATCTAGTGGTTAAGGCACCAGACTAGAAAACAGGAGATTGTGATTTCTAGCTGGGTGACTTTGGGCCAATCACTCTCTCTCACAGGTTTGTTGTTGTGGAGAAAATAGCAGGAGGAAGGTGTGTTGGATGTGTTCACCACCTTGAGTTATTTGTAAAAATAATAAAGGCAGGATACAAAAAAGTAAACAAACAAATAAATAATAAAAGGAAACTCTTAATACATGAACATGCTTTCCTCTTGTACTTGAAGTGGTTTAATACCATTTTGTATTGGAAAGAGATTCAAGGGAATCAACAAAATGTACAAGCAATAAATTAAAATAAAAACCTGAGGTTTATAAAAAATAAACACTATAGTCCTGTGGTGGTGAACCTATGGCATGCATGCCACAGTTGGCACACAGAGCCCTCTCTGTGGGCCCGTGCGCCATCGCCCCAGTCCTAGGCCTTCAGCTAGGTTTTATAAAACCTTTTTGCTTTAGGCCTCCGCCATCATGTGCAAAAAAAAAAAAAAGGTTCAATCTATCAATTTCAACTTCTCGTGGGAAAAAAAAGAGATCTCGCAAAGTTGGAATTGATTGATTGAACTTTTTAATCCCACCAAGTCTGCGGTTACCACCACAGCCACACTCACCCAATGGGCCATGCCCACCCAATTGGCCACACCCACCCAATGGGCCATACCCACCCAATGAGCCATGCCCACCCAGCACCCGACGATACATAAGTGGGTTTTAAGTTGCAGTTTGGGCACTCGGTCTCTAAAAGGTTCGCCATCACTGCTATAGTCATATAAGAATTTAAAAATGGCAGAGTTACCTTGCCTCCTTAGAAACTGTATTCAAAGAGAGCTGCTACTATTTGAAAACATTTTCTAAGTTTAATCTGAAGAAGCCACTTCTTGAAACAATGCCTTTTTCCCATTTGGGTTGTTTGAAATAAATCCAAAGAAATTTTAGTTTTGAAGCAAAGCACATGCTGGTCTTATTCTCTTTGGGCTCCAGAAGCCCATCTATGCCTGGGGCAATGTTTGCTTGCCTGCAAATGTCTAAAACTGGTGCCCAGAAAATTCTTCAGCTGAATGCGGGACATTCACAAATCACATGATGCTATTTGATTAGATGCTCACCTTTGACCCTGGCACCCCTTGAATACCATTCTCTCCTTGGGGCCCGGAAGTTCCTTGATCTCCCTTAATTTAAAAAGAATCTGGTATCAATCATTACTTGAGAAACAATATTCATATTAAAGTCTTAACTGATTTTCTTTGCTATACACGATTATAATTTTTTCTATTTAAAAAATCGAACAGGACATCTTTAAAGTAGTATCTGAATTCTAAATGCAGTTCAAATTTGTTTGTTCAAACTGTTATATTTGCTTAACTATTAATAAAGCCCAATATCATCAGCCAAACATTTAAATTTACAACAGTATAAAAACAATGGATTTGTGATCAATCCTCACATTTACGACTGCCGCAGTGTCCCATTATTGCCATTTGGGCCCTTTGTGACCAGCTTGCAACAAGCAGAGTTAATGGAGAATTTGGAAGTGAAGTCGTATGTCATAGCCCAAGATGTTTCATTTAAGGACCGAAGGGTAAGTGAGATGATAAGTCATTGTGATCATGATGCTTAGTGATGGAATTGCCAATTGCAATTGTAGTCACTAAGCTAGATTCATATACTTTGCCTGATATAGTTGTAAATTATCTTGACTCTCAATCAATACATGTATTAAGAATCAAATATTACGGACATGTTTACAGATATTCATGAAATTGAAACCGGCTACAAAAATTATGTATTTTTTTTCTCAAAGAGATATTGCAATGCTTAGCTTTTCAATCCTATAGATGTTTGTGCTGTTTATAGCCATCCATCCCTAATAATAATATGAAAAATGATGAAATGTACATTGCAACATCATAACGCACACCCCAATCTTTTTTACTTACATCATAATATTATCTGCAAGTACTGTATTTGTCATGGTGCACATTTCATCGTTAGCCCACTTGCCCTGTCTCCTCAGATCTCAACAGTGTTTTTTGTTTTAAAGCCCAGTCCTACACTCAAGCTTACACACAGCCAGAGTGAGCTATAAAAATGAGATTTACCTTTGGTCCTTGAACCCCTGGTTCTCCTGGAGTCCCAGCATCACCCTGATAAACAGAATATGTATAGGTGAGACTGAAATGTAGGAGTGTGTTATGTTTGCCAACATCACAAAGTAATTATTAATTGGATTTAATTTAAAAGTGGGAATAAATATTTATCTTTTAAAGAGATTGCTTGCATTTATAGGAGGATTCTTCCCTGTGGAACCCACTGAATTTTAATCCTTAAATATATTTATAAAATCTGGTAGCCATATCTTATTGAAATTCTGTTTGCTATGCATCAATCATCTCTATATTTTACATGGACAGAATATTTGAGTAAGATATCGTTAAGCTTTGATTTGGCTTATAAACTGGTTCTCAAATTCATGTGATCAATCTCTTTCACACTGCAGGATTCAAATATAACTGGTATTATGTATACCAAATTGAGCATTTTTGCTTTGTATAAATGTATGATTATAGCTTGTGGTTTAGGGCTTAAACCACTAATGTAAGTCTATAGGGCACTGTATTAAAACCAACTCACCATAAAAATTAGTAAAATTAAAAAGCAACTACTTTAATTAATGATGAAAAAATATTAAGCGTTCAAAAATCATTTTTAAAAGAGAATACAAGCAGAAACGTGTAAGGAGAGAAGCTAGAGTGTAAAATGTATCATTGTACAAATCATAGCCCAGGTATCTCTATTTTTTTCCATAATAATCTATACTTTATTAGGTTTGACTAACAGCCATTATGACGTTCGTTGAAAGCAACAGAGAATAAATTTTATAAATGTTCATCTCCTTTATTAGATGAACAAATATCTAATAAAGGAGAATATTTATAACCCAGGGTTGAAATGAGGGGTCCTTGGTCATCTCTGATTTTCTTATAGGCATTTCATTAGGTAACACCATCAGTGCTAGGACTGATGATATTACCTAGTTTGGGTAATGAAATGTCTGCAAGAAAATAATCAAGCTCAGAGAGCACCAAGGACCCTGAACAAATATCTTGTTTCCAAACTTCTGAAGTCATTTTGTTGTCTCCACACTCTTCTTTGAACTGAAGACAACTAATGTGAGAATCCAATCCAATCTAATTTCAAAACTGCCAATGAGTCAGAGGGCAGAAGGCCAGCTCAGAAAATGCAGGCATATGACTCTTTCCTTTGTTTTACATTCATCAATTTATTTTCTTTTTTTAATATGACCTTTGATTTCATTTCAAAGAATCTCAGCAATTGCTTAATATCTGTAACAAGAACTATCTGTTCCAGTCTCCTATACATGCGAAAGAGGATGATGAGAGAATGACAGGGAAGAGAGAATAAGGGAGTGGATAGCCCCACCCTCTTTGGGTTCTGCCCATTGCTTAGTGACACCCAACATTAGTGGTTAAGGCACCAAGCTAGAAATCGGGAGACTGTGAGTCCCGCCTTAGTCCCGCCATAGCTATGAAAGCTGGATGGCTAATCTTGGGCTGTCACTCTTTCTCAGCCCAACCCACCTCAAAAGGTGGTTGTTGTGGAGAAAATAGGAGGGAGAAAGATGTGTTGGATATGTTCACTGCCTTGAGTTATTTGTAAAAATAATAAAGGCAGGATACAAATAGAAAGAAAAAAAGAAAGAGAAAGAAAGAAAAAGAAAGAAAGAAAGAAAAAAGGAAGATAAAAGAAAGAAGGAAGAAAGGAAGGAAGGAAGGAAAGAAGGAAGGAAGAAAGAAGTGATAAATATTATCCTCCAGTAATACAACTTATAATAATACTAAAAATGCTGCTCCTTCATTACTCTTTCTCTATCTATTTGCTGCATGTTCAGTCCTATACACAGAGCTGCTTCAATGTGTGTTGCACAAACAGAGCAAGACATGCACATGTACAAAAGAGAGACAGGTTTGACCTGGTTTCTTCTCTGTCTGCTCACTTGGCGAGGGATCATTTTCAGGAGCATTGCTCATGATGCACTGGGATGGCCTTAGTCAAGTGTCAAGCAAGCATTAGTGTTGAGGTACCAGCTTCGAAGGATAGGAGCTATTGGAGAGGCAGACAGATGAAATGCCCAAACTTGTACACCTGACTCCACATCTCTCCAGCATTTGCTACTCTGGTAGCCACCTCACCCTACCAAATCTTAGGGCTTGTTTGCATGATTGGTTACAAGATATCAAAATGCAGGTAGCTTTGGAGAAAAAGAAGAAAACACAACAACTTACTTTTTTTCCTGGAATACCAGGTTCACCCTTTAAACAAACAAACAAACAAAGCATTTAATATGAGAGATGCAAAAAAGATAGGCATGAGAAAACAAAAGTAATAAAAATGAAAATACCAGTTCACACTGATCTGAAAACTATCTTTTCCAATGTACTAAAATTCAATTCTTTTGCCAACAACTGATGCAATTTCTCTTAAATAACCTGGGGTTATTACGTTTTATGGATAACAGGTTTCAAGCACTTATTTCAGAAGGTTTACGTTTAAATTCCATGATAAGTAAGAAGTAACTTTAGACTGCAGAAATGACCCTTTCAAACATTACTTCAGTGTTAAAATTAAGGAGACAAAATGTAAACATGGGGATGTTCCTGATTCATACCTTCATGCTTCTCAAAAGGAAGATCACTAAAAGGTAAATGGGAGTCCCATTTCCTTTCCTGACATGTGCACACCCCTCAGAACTTCAAGGAAAGTATTTTTCCCTGACTAACCCCTTTCTTCACTACTTCACTCAAAGAGAAAAAAGACACGAATCTAACTAACTGATACAGTGAATTGGAGATAGAAGTAATCTGATGTTTCTGAGTATTTGCATTCTCAGAATTAAATTGTTACAAGCTGGTTTTAAAAGACAACTGTGTAGGAAACTATATTTTGTGGTGCTTATCTCACTTTTGAAGTTATTCTCTTTTAATTTGATCTCTTAGATTTGTTTGATACTCTACAACTAAACTCAAAACATTTTACTCATTATGACCTTTTATAATAACACACTACTAGTTGCACATTAGTGCAACAAAAAGCACTGGAACAATAAAGACATAAAAATTGTGAAAGAAAATATGGCACATTACTTCTTCTACGAGACTGTAGCCAATTTCTCTAAAATATAAAATATTAGCAGATAGCTGTGTTAACATCAAGATGGTGAGCTTTCAATATTCTCATTCTGAAATTTGGAATTTCAGCCAAATGCAAATACCACTTAAAAGAAATACTATTCTAAAGAAGTGGATTTAAAAGGCTCCTTACAAGATAATAAAATGTGAGAAGTGACACAGAACTACTTTAAGAAGAGGGTGATGATGGCCCACAGTTTAGTTCAGAAAGTTACTCATCAAAGGAGACTGGTTGTTTCAGTCCTACTTTAAACTTGGCTACTGTTATTCTCTGTTTAGCGCAGGAGAGATGGAGAAACAATTGGATTAGGAACCAAAAGTGGACGGAAGTAAACAATAGTGATTAGGGACCAAGTCGAAAGGAAGTTACCCATTAAAGTTATTAGGCAGAGGACACAGTGACTCAAAAAACAGGAAGAAACTTTTGAGTTATACTTATATAACTATCCCATATTTAACATGTGAACAATTCATTACAGATGGCTTTAATATCATATATTGCATACTAACCATGGTACCAGCTTCTCCCTTCTCACCCTAAAAAAACAATATAAATATACAATTTTCACATTAAACCAACAATATATGTCATTTCAAAATCTATTTTCTAAAAATCTTTCTACCAGCATAACAGTGAAGGAAAGAAATGTGGAGATTTTTTAAAAAATCACATTGTTTTGAGAAAAAAAAATATTTCAGGTATTCCGTTGATTTAGGAATCACCATCTTACCAGCTCACTCAAGCGACATGCAGATAACACCACACAATCAATTATTAGACTTAACACTGAGCACAAAAATAGATTTCATCTCATTTAATGTTTTTTGGTAAATAAAACTCTACATCATTCTTCAAATTCAAGGATGGGGTGTCAACAATTAGTTATTAAAGAAAAGATTAAGAATGGCTAATGCATTAAAAAAAAACTATCCTGAGAATAGCTTTTTCTAATAGATCTGCCATTGCTCAGTGGAATAATCACACTGAATTCCTTCACGTTGCTCTGGTAATTGCTATTCTAGCAAGGAAAATAAAATGTTATCAAACCCTGAAGCTTGGTATATAATTAGGATTTACAAATAATAAATCCTGATAAGGTTATCCAATGCATTTCATTGGAAAATTATATTTGGACAAGCTAACATGAACAAACCATTGACTGTAAATAAAATAAAACTTGATGGCAAGTTCAATCAAGTTACTGCCTTCTTCACTTACTCTCTGTTATAACAATACTATACTTTTCCTTCCACTAACCTCTTCAGACATTTAAGATCAAGTTGGGTATATGACTTAAAGTTCTTTTAGCTTACATGCACCATGAGGAGCATCTCCCTGAAACCATGCATGTTACTTAGCTCTGTTATTATTTATGCCTTACAGGAAGACCCTTTGGGCCATCTTTTCCTGTGTCTCCAGGGGGCCCTCTTGCACCCGGCTGTCCAGGAGGCCCAGGTGGGCCAGCAGTACCATCTTTACCTTGGTCTCCCTATAAGAAGTTTAGACAAAGCATTATATCATGGGGGGAGCACTTTCCTAATAAATGGATTGTATCATCAAAAACTAGGACCTGACATAATTAGGATGCTGGTTTGACAAGCAGCAAGCTCGCGTTCAAGACCCAAGTGCTGCCGTGGGGAGGGATGAGCTTCCGTCCTTTGCTCCAACTCCTGCCAGGGATATGAAAGCCACTCCCAACTGGGTGTCTCCTGGGCAACGATGATGTCACCAGCTAGTCCTTTCAACCCAGAAGTGCCTTGGTGCATTCCTACTATGCAGGATGGAAAGCAGCAGGAGAATATATGTGGGACTTAGTTATGTTTTTAAGTCCTGAAATAAACTTTAGACTGCAAGTCAATCAAATTTTATGGAGTATAACTTATTGCACCTAAAGCACCTCATATTTAAGACTTCGTTTGCGTGTATTTAGCAACAAATATTGGTGGCTGTAAAGTTTTATTCACCATATCCAATTCATATGTACGTGTGTTATGCAATGATGGGTACAATATATATTCTTTCTGTCTCCAAATGCTGGGTTCTCATATCTTTTAGACCCAAATCAGGGGAAATTAGTAAGAAAATAGATTTTTCAGCATACTGTTACTATATTTGTAGAAAGCATCAGCAAAGCTATGGGGCCCAGTTATGGTTTTAAGGCAAACAGTTCTGCTATGTCTTATTTTTATCATCATCATTAAGTCCTGTGCAGAGCACATTGGGCAGAAGTGTTTTCCAGTGTTTTCAATCTTATTTTATCATGAAGCAAATGTCAAAAATTTCTACAAACAGTAAGCTACAAATTGCCTCTTAGGTCATTTGAAGATGTATAATCTTGGAAAATCTAGATGCATGTTTAGAGTATATTATATTACTATATTCACTTCCTGACTGCCCTCCACAGACCTTCATATTACACATAAAGGTTTTCTAGGCAGTCTCCTGTCTAAGTGTTAAGGCATCAAGTTAGCCAACCAGTGTGGGGTTGTTTATCTTCAACTGCTGTATTGTATAGTTTTAAACAACCCATAATGTGATTGTGTTTTAATGTATTGTATAGTTTTAAACAACCCATAATGTGATTGTGTTTTTTCTTGGAAAAAATATCTTGCGATTGACTGAAATATTTACAAAAATGCAGTATTTCTAGAACACATAGGACATTACCTTTAAATTGGAGGTCACACAGCAAGAATACACACAGATTAAAACAACAGTATACAGTACATCACATATTATGCTTATAGTATAGGCAGTGATGGCGAATCTTTTAGAGACCGAGTGCCCAAAAACTGGCCCCATCCCGCGCTCCACCCCCCCATCCCCCACCCCACCTGCCCATAGGGCCACTCACTGCCTCCAGGGCCCACCACAGATCGCCCAGGCAGCCCAGCAGCGCTATGGCAGTCATACCCGCACCCTGCAGCATCAACTGTGCAAGATCGGGTTGAGGTCAGAGTCTTGTCTATGCTGCCTGGCTGCCATGTCCTTGGCTGCGCTGCTCCGTGTGGGCCACGCTCAGGGGCGACTCTCCTTCACGGGGGCTGCTGGAGAGGAGGGGGTTGTGGGAGGAGGCGAGGCTGGGGCAACGGCATGTGCGCCCACAGAGAGGGCTCCGAGTGCCGCCTCTGGCACCGTGCCATAGGTTCGTCACCACTGGCATAGGGTAAACTACTTTTTAAAAACTTCCTTTCTTCAAATATAAGATGATGTTTTTTTAAACAGCAAGCTGCTTTGAATTTTAAGATATTTTCAAAACTGGTTTGCGGGAAAGCAGAAAGAAGTCGCTTCATGTTTGAAAATGTCTCTATTTAAATCATATTGCAAAAGTATTGTAACTGCAGCCAATCAGAACAGAGCTGGAAGGGTTCTTGGAGGTCTTCTAGTCCAACCTCTACTTGAGCCAGAGACCCTATACTATTTCAGATAGGTGGCTGTCCAGTCTTTTCTTAAAAACCTCTGGTGATGAAGCACCTACAACTTCTGGAGGCAAGCTGTTCCACTGGTTAATTGTCCTGACTGTTAGGAAGTTTCTGCTTAATTCCAAGTTGCTTCTTTCCTTGATTAGTTTCCATCCATTTGTTTCTTGTCTAGTCTTCTGATACTTTGGAAAATAAGTTGACCCCCTCTTATTTGTGGCAACCCCTCAAATACTGGAATACTGTTATCATGTCTTTTTTTTAGACTAGCCTGTAATTGTTCTTCATATGATTTTGTCTCCAGGCCCTTAATCATCTTTGTTGCTTTTCTTTGCACTTTTTCCAAAGTTTCAACATCTTTTTTGCAATGTGGTGACCAAAACGGAATGCAGGATGCATTCATGCGAAATAATATTATTTTTATTTTACAAATTAGGAAGCTGACAAATAGCTGGTCTAAGTAGAGAATTAAAACCAGCCCGCACAAGATGTATTATTTGAATGAACAAGAGTGTCAGCTACCATTGTTATAACCTGGATTATAATCTGGTTTGGAAAATAACAAATAACCCTGCTAGAACATATGGAGCCATCACTGAAATCTCCATGAAAATTAATATCTGAGCAGGTTGTCCTAGTGTCAGAGTTAATTTAATGCCATCCTACTCTAACTCAGAAATTTAATGATAAAAGACTTTCAACATTTTTTCAATTTCTAATAATTTTTATTGGGCAATACCATAAATCCAAACTAAATAGCTCCATCTCAATGATACTGGAATTTTAAATTATTATTTCATGTACATCCCACTCTTACTATTCATTAAAATTGGCAGTTTACTGAGACCATAATTCTTGAAACAGGATATATCAAAAAGGTCAATAACAGCTTCTTGACAAATTTACCAATCTTTCAATTCTTGGATAAACATAGCATTAAAAAAGCAGGGACATACTGTTGAGATTTGTTTTGATATTGACATGTACTATGACAATATTCCAACTGTATATGACATGCAATACATGCAAGAACATAGCAATGAACCTAAACAGATCTTGGGGATTGGAACATGTTATTTTAATGTTTTTCTTAGATTTGTATGAATAGAATTTATATGAATTTGATGAAGCTCAGATGATGCTAACATTACAGATCACAAATAAAATGAAAGGCACAAGAAAAGTAAACATATTTGATTTATGTAACATTTTTGAACTAGAAGCAACTGAATGGATTGCAAAAATATCTTAAGATTGTTTAAATTTATGAGTTGCTGACAGTAGCAGTTCTTGCAAACTGGATATATGGACACTTAAGAATGAACACTGTGGCATAATACTCACAGGATGGAATAGAAACGAATTCTGTATTAGGATGTAACTGCAAACTGCAAGTAGTACAGTGTATTAATTTATCTGCTGCTTCTGAAAATTAGTTCTATGTTTGTTAAATATGAAACTCATAGAAGTTGAGATATTTTCCATGCACACAACATATTCTTTGTATAAGTTGCTTGGCAGTTTGCTTACTTTCTTGCTGACATTTGCAATTCTTGTAAAGCCACAGTAGATTTCACATTTTAATCTATGGAAAATCTTGAGTAGTCATGACATATATTCACCATGACTTTCCCTAAGTGGGGGAGAGGAAGAATTAAATCTGTTTTCATGAAGGCAACCTCTGTATTCTGTCAAATGGTGAAGTAACTGGATGATAACTGAAATGTTTATTATGGATAAAAAGTAAGCATTTTTTTAAAATATTATTTTGATGCTTTTACAGTGAAACACAGCTCCAGGAAACAGACACGGGAGCCTAGCATGCTAATGTCCATGGGGTCACAAGGAATCGGACATGACTTAGCGACTGAACTACAACAGTGTAATACAATTCTGATTCTAATTGCCACAACACTCAAGTATATTCAGTTTAGTTTATGACCCAAAACAGTAAGAGATCTTGTCAGAGTGTGAAAGAGCAGAAGAATAAAATAGTAGAAGAGAGAAGCTTAGATTAAGAAAAGCCAACAACCTCTCAAGAAAACACAGCAAGCCAGAAGATTAAAAGTGATTCTACCTTAAGCATACGTCGGCTAAAAATATGCTGGTCAGAGAGAAATCCATGACTGAGGCGAGGAAAAGCCATCTAGTCAATGTAGGTCAGCAAAGAAAAAGGATCAAGACAAAGAAGATAAAGAAAAGGGTAAAGGCATTTTATACAAGAACTCCAATATGAAGCAAACAATTGATATAATCAAAACAGCATTGATTGATTCAAAACCAAGTCACAAGATGGGTGACAGCAGAATAAACCATTCTGTTAGTTCACAGGAGACAACTTGTGACTCCCAGACCCACGTACAACCTCCTGAGAGTCGGGCTTGTTTGCATACAGGTGATGTACTTGTTCAACAAAGCTAAAACTTTACAAAAGTTTTACAAAACTTTACAAGATTTACAAAAAAGACATTTTACTTAACCCTTGTCTCCATAAATCAAAATTTAAGATGTTTTATGGCAATTTTAAAGGGATAACATACATTTTATTAGAGCAATCATACTCTGATAACACTTGTTCCTAAGGAACTGATGTAGCTTCATTGAGAAATAATCTAGCTAAACTGTTAGAGTAGCTTAACAGCTAGGGATACATAATCTAGCATCACGTTTTGCTATTAAGTCACGTGGTGTCTTGGATTATGGCATCTTGGGACAATATTAATTTTCTAGATTTTGGGAAAATACCCAAATAGATATTTCAGGTATATGCTAGGAAAAATCTACTCTCAACATCTATATAAATATGTGTTTTTGTGTGTAAGTACAGTATGTACACACACACACACACACACACACATATGTAAAAAAGCTAGAACTAAAGGAAAATCATCTTTAGGTGGGCCCTCCCCTTTTTAAAATCAGTATTGACTCAGTATTGACTCCTGATGACTTTCTGAACTAGTCCCTGCACTTTTCTGGGCAAAATCTCTAGAAGTGGTTTGTCATTGCCTGCTTTATAAGGCTGAGAAAGAGTAACCATCCCAAAGTAACCCAGCATATTTCATCCCAAGGTGGGACTAGAACTCATAGTCTATCAGTCTCACCAAGTGTCTTAACCACTATAGTACTTACAAATGATTTTTATATAGAAACACATGAACAAGGTTGATTTGCCAGTCAGTTCTATTAGACAAGGATAGACCTAATTGGCAAGTGAACCTATAGCACATTTAATTTATTTAACACATTGGGAAGGAGATAATTTACGTATATTTATTTATATTTGAACTGATTTCTGTATAAGCATTTCAGGAAAATTCTTATTTATATAATAAAAAGGAAAATGAACAGATGGGAAAAAATACCTTATTATCTTGTATACAATCCTACAGCTACTTGGAAATAAAATTTCACAATCCCGTATGATATAGCAATGTATTTAAATAATGTAATATCTTAACACAATTTTAATGAAGAATATTGAAGAAAAGAATCTGATTAAAAGCACTCTTATGCTATTTTAATATAAAGATAGAATAATTTTTTTTTCTGCCAGTTACTTCCATGGACTTCGGCTGAAAACATGTGCTATAAATTATACATCCAAAGCACAGCTTTCATATTGTTTAGATTATCATTATCAAAATGCTGCTTCGAGTTAGATGGCTTGAACTGAATGTACTGTAGATACGATTCAAACCTTAGCTGAAGCGGAAGTCAATATTCCAGTTTTATGTGCTAGTTTGGGCCATAGGAGTAGCAAAATCAAGAAACCAAAGCCACATTTTATTTTTGTTGATCCATAGATATTTATTTGCCTTTATTCTTGCTGTGTTCGGGGCACAGTCAGCAATTCAGTTGGAAAACAAATAATAATGATCTCCACGGCTGAAGCAGATTGATTTAATACTGTAACAAAAGAGAGAACTAATATAGCAAGCTAGCAGTAAAACTTCATGTTCCATTTGATTTTATTCTTTTTTGAACAATATTAAGACAGTGGAGTCAACTTATACTCTAGTATGGGGAATGAATTCTGAACTTAGTGCTTTGCACATGTGTTTGACTTCAATTCCATCTCGACAGCATTCCAAGCTTGGGAGAGGAAATCAGTTCATAAAATTCCATGAAGTTAAGACTTCTTTGTTGGAAATGCTAAATTTTTCAGTCAGAATTCTGTTTCATAAAATTATATCTCGAATTTTCACAAAAGATTCTAATCAATACCTCTCAAGGCAAGATTTCTCTCAATGCCTATTTATCAAGGCCTATTTATCAAGCGAGAAACATGGGGTGCCGTGAGTCTTCAGGAAAATCTGTTTGATGAAGATTAATTAGATGGACCAAAAGTCTGATGTAATCATTTGGTTCTTCATATTTGATTAAAATATAACATTACGCTCCTCCCAATAATTTATATAGACAGCATAGATACTTCTATAATGAACTTGATAACAAAAATTCTTTCAGATATAAATTAAAAGAAGGAAAGGTCTAGAAAGATTGGATTGGAAAAACAGGGAACTAAAATGCTGGAAACATGGCATAATATATTTCACAACATTTGTATGGTCAAACACAACAGTGAGTCCAATTGGGTACCAAATGTCTGGCCAATTAATGTAGACCTTGATCATGATACATTCAGAGAAAATTAAGATTTTCCAATATTAAGTAAATGACTGCTTCCTCTGAAAATACGAGTTATTTACAATTGTAAATGTATGTACTATGTACTGTGAAGCATGTATGAAATAATGCACCCTCCCTTTAAGCCAGGAAATAAAGTTTGCTATTGAGGCTAAAGCAAAATAAATCTGTCCAATTTAAAGAAATAAAAATAATTTAGGCCAGATGCTGTCACAGAAAAAATGTATCTGGGAATGGAAAAGAGAACAAGAGGACTTAGGGGCCAAAGAAGTAAAGAAATGTCCTAAAATTTCAGAAGAATCTGAGTGGGTTTTTGCATTTGTGAGAGAAACTGGATGGTTACATATTGCTCGAACTACAATCTGATTACTGGTCTGTCCTACTGAGAGACGAGGTCTCAATTTTCCCAAAAGACGCAACACATTTGAGAAAATGGGGCATAAATACATTTCGTAACATGAACATTGCTAAATGCAGACCTCTTTTATGCGTAATTGATAACATCTGGGAATCGCTTGCAATGTTTTCTTTCCTTCCTTTAAAATGTAAGACCCCTTCTGAATCATTTCCATTTTATGGTTTATGTTAAATGCACAGTGACAACAATCCTTCTTTGAGAAAGAGATTAAGCCCCACTGCTAAATACCCTTTTTTTAGCAACTCAATTTCTAAATATGCATTGTTTCCTGTTCTTCTGCTGATAATACTAACAGAAGATTTCCCAAGCGAATTGTTTGTGAATTGTGATAAAAACTATTAAATTCTTTAAAAATAAAAATAAGGCTCTTTCCATTACAATGTAGAAATGCAATGGAATCAAAGCATTATCTAAAGCAATCTGACTTTTGATAAAACTGAAGTAATATATTCTAGCTTCTACTGAATCTAGAGGATTGTAGAACTAGAGAAATTAATTTCCTGTTTGGCTTAAAAATTTGTTACACAGTCCTTGGAAAGCTCACACTGTTTTCATGTAGTAACATATTGCATTACAAAAGAGAAAAACGTTCAATCAAGTTAGTTAATTATTAAACAGAGTTCAGTTAGATCAAAAGAGAATGATTGAACTGTGGAGTCCTTGGTGTTCTTTGAGCTTAGTTGTTGACTTGTAAATGCTTCATTACCTGACTAAGTGACTTCATTAGAGTTCATGAGTGTGGGCTTTGCTCCTTGCTTATGTACAATAGCTTGCCATGGCAGTTTTGGTGGGGGTATGATTTGATAATTCCTTGTTTTGTTTTTTGCTTGTTTGTCTGATGTTAATTGCTGCTTATCTGGGTGTAGGCTGCTGGAGAGAACATGTTCTCATCTTTTTGTTTCCTTCTTAGTTTTTTTGCTGTCTCTTTTGAATGGTGTGCAATTCTTGTTTATCTCTATGTACCTATTGATGGATGATTTGTGTGAGTCCTAGGTTTCCAGGAATAATCTGTTTTTGGATTTAGTTTGCTCTAGGATGCTAATTTTACAGTTGAAGCTATGGTAATGTGTGTCCATGTATTGAGATTAACAAGTTTTTGTTGTGCTATTTGACTACTAGTTGGTGTTCATGGATGTGCTCTGCTGGTCTTCTGTCTGTCCTACATAGCAGTTGTTAAAACATTATATGTTCTAGATCACAGTTCTCCAACCTTTTGGGGTTGGCAGCCTGGAGTGGGGGGAGGGGGAAAGGGATGGTTTTATGGGGGGTAAATGCATGTGCGAACATCTGTTGCTCATGCAAGTGAGGCCGTGAGCGCCTCGCTCAAGTGGGATCACAAAAGCCTGTGATGCTCACAGAGTGGGACTGTGCACATGTGCACATGTGTGCACCGGCCAGCCACTCACACGTGCCAGTGGCCAATAGTGGGCCACAGCCCACAGGCTGGGGACCCCTGTTGTAGATAACTTTTGTTTTTTCTGGTTCTTTGTCCTCTCACTGGACATCTATTTGATCCAACTTTGTCTTCTGGAAACTGTTCTAAACAAAGCACTTACGGAAGGCATTTGAAGCTTCAATAATCATTGTTTAGTTATAGTTTGGTTACTTTAATAGTATTCTATGTTTTTCATTAGTATCAGTATCCTTTTTGTTATTGTATATTGCACATTGATGTTGTTTATTGTTTCTTATGCATCTTATCTGTATAGCACCATTGGTGTATACCATCTGTATACCTTCTTAGCTCTTTCTATAGGTTTCCACTTCAACTTAGACTCTATCACTGTCATCAGATCATGTTGCTGTGTTACTATAACTTTCCTTTATTCATTCATATCTAGAGAATACCTTGCTTTCACCTATGGGATGTTAATTTAATAAATTATATGCAACATTACTGTTCTGAAATCGTACTATTGAACTACAAAGCTTGCATATTTGAAAAATAATTAGGGCTGCTCTTTCTATTGCCTTTGATGGTGTTTTTCTCTAAGGCCCAATCTTCTATCCAAGTTATTGAGTTATTACACAAACTACAATGTACATCAACAGAGAGCCATGAAAAGAAACATATAGTCTGGTGCTGTAAAATGACCATGAGTGCAAGCAAGAGAGAAGATACCCGTATAAGGATAGTCTGGAAAGAATATAATCATATGCAGTTAAATTGAATTAAACTTAAATATTGTCTTCTACTGAAAAGGGAATTAAACAGTTAATAGCTGATGTTTATGCAGAAGTTTCCATGACATCAAAAGGATTTATTCCCCTGTAAATATGTGCAGAAATGCAGCCTGGAATAAAACTTGTTTTCTTTTGAAGAGTTTCCTTAAAATTTCAGTTTTGGGAGAAAGAAAGGTAAGGATAAGTTGTACAGCTCTGGATTTCCCTCCCATCTTTTTATCTTTATGTTTATATTCATATATTTTGATGTTTCTATGCTTATTTCAGCCAAACTCTCACCTACATGTAAATATGTTCATAATTACTAGTGATACTTACCCTTGGGCCAATATCTCCTTGTTCACCCTACAAAACAAAAAAGTTACTATCATCTGCTGCTCAGTGTTGCTTTTGGCCAAATTACTTCTTCCTTATAAATAGGAACAGTGGTGAAATATAGGAAATTACAAGTTTCAAAAATTAATGTTTGACATTAGCCAACATTATTTCATGTCCTAGAAGTCCTCCACATTGTAAAAGCCTCAATACTTAGATTTAGTGAGCTATTTGGGACTCACATATAGCAAGTGAATGGGTAGAATGGAAGGAGCTCTAGAAAATATTACCAGGACAGGTATGGACAAAGTATTTATACAATTCTTAGATGAACGTATTCAAATAGAAAGAAAAAAGAGTATATCTTTATGGTTTAGAAACTACCCAATTGCAGTCCTGATTTAGGACTCCAACTTTGCTGCAGAAGTCAAATCACCAAATTCATGCAAGATACAACATTAGTTTATAGTTCACCTCAATTCTTCCCTTAGCATTAAAAAGGAGGTTATAAAACATGCTATTCTAATAATTCTTGCCAGTGGGTACATGGTACACCTAACAATTCAAAGATGGTTCTCTTTGTTCTTGGCTTCTTTCTCAGTTTGTTCTCTTGGATATACATGGTGTGCTACCTTCATGTGCTGATGAAGAGCCTGTGAGAGACATCAGAGTAATACACACCAACATACTACTCATTGATAATTCTATCCAGATCTGACTTGCAGGGCCATCTCAATGAGGTCAATATAGAATAAAGGCCAGAAGAATATGACATTGTTTACTAGACTAATTAACACCTCTCCTAACATTGTCAAAGCACTTTTCAGTTGACTCACCTTATCTCCTTTTGCTCCTGGAAGTCCCTGTAGACATCAAAAAGAGAACAATTAGCACAGAGAAGCACTATTTTCAGTTAGAACCCTTCTTGATATGTAAACTACTATAAAAATAGTTATTCTCCCATACAACTATTTCAGCATATGACAGCTAGCATAATAGAGTGGAAAGTGGCTGAAAACTTGATCCCCAAAGGAGAGTCTAAAATAGGGATTTTTGCTCTATTAAGAGATAATTGGTATTTAGGGGTAGTTTAGGGGAAGGGTGATGGAACTAGAAAATCAAGGAGAAAGACATTTTTTCTATTTTGCCCCCAAAGTCCTTTTGTTTTGTTGTTTATTTTTGAAAAAGAATCAAAGAGGGGAATTTGAATAAATATTAAATGATTAACATGTGAAAGCAATTGTTCTGTATTTGGAAATCAATTAAATTGTAAAATACACTAGTGTGAAGTGCTAGAGGCAAATCTAAATTTCAGAAACCACTCAACACTAAAAAAAAATAAGGATTAGAAGCATTAAAAAGGTCTGTTAGTGATAACTTGCTTCAGAAAATAAGACAGTTCAGCAAAATATTTAACATCGAAGTATTTTTCTCACAATAAGTTGTTTCTGTATCTGTTCATTAGAGCGGAAGCTAAAATCAATATGTAACTTCCTTTCTTTTGCAACAATCTTGACAGTTTTTCCTGTTTTTAATATAAACATTTTGCCTGCCTGTTTCTCATAAACAGACAAGAATTAAAACGATATTTTTGGGAGTTGAGCAGCCTGTAATTCCATATGTATCAAAATTAAAAACATGTTGAAATCAATAAAAATGTATAATTATGGTATGAATAAACAATACAATTGTATGCACCAAGCACATTTTTACAAGTGAGCCAAGATAAACTTAGCAAAATATATCTATAAAGGATGTTGAAAACATTTTTACTACCCCTGCCCCAATTTTTAACTTCTGAAAATTACTCCAGGGACATGTTTTCCTTATTACTTCAAAATATCCAAATGTTTACATTTCTACTTTTGTTGCAAGTAGACCTTGGTTAGTGACCACAACTGGGAACGGCAACTAAGTTGTTAAGCAAAGCAGTTGCTAAATGAAACCTTGACTTTGTTTACAATCTTACTTCAGTTTTTTTTTTTTGCTTCACAGACCTGCGAAAGTCATAAATGCAAGGATTAGTTGCCAAGTTACTTTTTCATTACTTTCATAACTGCAAATGGTTGTAACAGCGACCGCACAAGGGCTACTGGCATAGATTAAATACTTGGCCCTTTAGTCAGTTTGGAGAATCAGTGAGCAGAGAATGTTAGAAAGATGCTTTACTGAAGACCAATTTTTCTAGTCGCCCTGTTGAACTGCTGTGCCCAAGCTTTGGCGCTCTTCTCTCAGTAGCAGAGTTCTCCTACTCCAACTACAGTAGTCCTTGACTTACCACCATTTGTGAGTTACATCGGCGCTGAAAAAAGTGACATCATTTTTCACACAACTGTTGCAGCATCCCCATGATCACATGATCAAAATTTGGGTGCTTGACAACTGGCATATATTTAGGATGGTTTAGCGTCAGATGATCACCTTTTGCGACCTTCTGATAAGCAAAGTCAATGAGGAAGCCAGATTTCATTTCAATAGCTATCTTATTAACTCAATAACTGCAGCGATTCACTTAACAGCTGTGGCAAGAAAGGTCGCAAAATGGGACAAAATTCATTTAACGACTGTCTTGCTTAGCAAGGGAAATGTTGGGCTCAATTGTGATTGTAAGTTGAGGATTACCTGTACTAAACTAGGCTGCACAGGAAACCTGTTTGACCTCATCTTTTTTCCTTATCCAAGCTGATTGTTTCTTCTTCTTTTTTCAATAGTCAAGGACAGGGGTAGGCAACCTTGGCTCTTTTATGTCTCGTGGACTTCAACTCCCAGAATTCCTGAGCCAGCTCAGGAATTCTGGGAGTTGAAGTCCACGAGTCATAAAAGAGCCAAGGTTGCCTATCCCTGGTCAAGGACAATGCCTGTATTCCATGCCAAGCAGTCTATATACAACTTGCAAATAAATAATGGCTGCATTGGGTGAATTTCAACATCGGTACTTAAAAGGAAAATAATAGCACATTCTCTTATGAACATGAAAAGAAAGGCCTTCTGAAAGTGCAGTCAGTCCTTGATTTGTGACCACAGTTGAGTCCAAAATTTTGGTTGCTAAACGAGACAGCTGAGTTTTGCCCTATTATACGAACTTTTGTGTGACAGTTGTTAAGTGAGTTATTGAGTTACTAAGACCCAGAATGAATCTAGTTTCCCCATTGACTTTGCTTATCGCAAAAGCTGATCAGCTGGCCCTAAGACACTGCAACCATCCAAACATGCCAGTTGTCATGCTAGTAACACGGTTGTTAAATGAATCTGGCTTCCCCATTGACCTTGCTTGTCAGAAGGTTGCAAAAAATGATCATGTGATCTCGGGACACTGCAACTGTCATAAATATGAGGCAGTTGCCAAGCACATGAATTTTGATCACATGACCGTGGGGGAATGCTATAACGGTCATAAGTGTGAAAAATGATCTTAAGGCACTTTTTTCCAGTGCTTTTTTTCTAAAAAAAAAAAAAAAGTGCCAGAACTCACACACGTCATACAACCCGCCTTGCCTACCCCACAAGTTTCCATCCCAAAAAGGTGCCGGAACTCCATTCTGGGCGTTCTACGAGAAAAAAAGCCCTGCTTTTTTCTATTGTAACTTTGAATAGTCACTAAACTAGAGGTTGTAAGCCAAGGGCTACCTGTAGTCTCAAATTCACAGGAGACCCAGTAAAAGCATTTCTTTTGAGAAATAATCATTACAAGTAGGATCTGCAAACAAACAAACAAACAAACAATATATGCAGCCACGGAGGAAGCCTCCAGTTTTCCATTTCACACTTACGTGTGAGCAGACATTGTACATTAAGGCTGACTTGGTACTGGCCCAGGGTGCCCTGGCTGGTTCTGAATCAAAAGCTATTCTAAAAATACAAATCTTTGCATGGATGGCATCATAGTCTATGTGGCCTAGAGGGTGCCATATAAGCTTGAGCTAGTACTGCATTTGAAGCCTGCAACCTGGAATGCTTTCAGGGTTAGGATTTCGGAAATCCCTTTACATCTCTCTCTCACTGTTTTCCATTCTTCACATCTCTAGAATCAACAAGCTTTCTGAATCAATTGCCTATCAATGGGAGGCATGTTCCGGGGTCCCACCATACATTAAATGGATGGAAGCTACAACATGGCTACTTTGTCAGATTTGGTGGAACATGCAGAAATAATTGGGGACCAATGATTCGATGTGAAGCATTAGGGCACTATCAGCCCCACTAGGTAGACCAATCCAGGAAATAAACTCTACAGGAAGAGTAGGATCATCTTAGTTAATAGAAGGGCAGAATAACAGAATCTTAGTAGTTAGTAGACCAGCAGAATTACAAAATCTTGCAAATCTGATTGTTGTTCCCTCCTCTTTCTTATAGTTAAAAGAGCCACCTCGGCTCTTATATAAAAGAGCCGAGGTGGCGCAGCAGTTAGAGTGCAGTACTGCAGGCCACTTTAGCTGACTGTGTTCAGCAGGTCAGCGGTTCAAATCTCACCGGCTCAAGGTTGACTCAGCCTTCATCCTTCCGGGGTAGGTAAAATGAGGACCCAGATTGTTAGGGGCAATACCGCTGACAAAGTGAGGGGAGCCTGTGGCTTAGAGGTTATAACAACTGCCTAACATGTAGATAGCCCGGGTTCGAATCTCAGAAGAGTAAGTTTGGCTGAAGAGAGTTAAAGGAACTCGAAATAGCTATACCATTCTCTCTTTATTCTTTGTTAACAACCTAAAAATGTAAAATGATGTCGCAGCTGGTGACTGCTGCTTGTGGATGGCTCTAGATTGAGCTGATACAGGCAAAAGAAAAGAAAAGAAAGAAGATTTCTTTCTCCCATATTTGGGCTGACAGGGTGTTCATTCAAGGTAAAAAATCTCCTCCCCCTGTCTCGTTCCTGATACCGCTGACAAAGTGAGGAGAGCCTGTGGCTTAGAGGTTATAACAACTGCCTAACATGTAGATAGCCCAGGTTCGAATCTCAGAAGAGTAAGTTTGGCTGAAGAGAGTTAAAGGAACTCGAAATAGCTATACCATTCTCTCTTTATTCTTTGTTAGCAACCTAAAAATGTAAAATGATGTCGCAGTTGGTGACTGCTGCTTGTGGATGGCTCTAGATTGAGCTGATACAGGCAAAAGAAAAGAAAAGAAAAGAAAGAAGATTTCTTTCTCCCATATTTGGGCTGACAGGGTGTTCATTCAAGGTAATATATATATATATATATATATATATATATATATATATATATATATATATATATATATATATGTTTTTCTGAGGTTTTCGCGGGTATTTGTATGTAGGTCTTTGGTTGTTCGGGTTTTCTCCCACGTAAAATTGGAAGTGTCTTGGCGACGTTTCGACGAAGTCCCATTCGTCATCTTCAGGCTGGTGCTTTCAGCTTCGTGCCTCGAGCAGCAATGTGTGGTCTTAGCTGTTTCTTCCTTTTAACTGCCAGTGGGGGTATGAACTGATTGGGTGGGAGCTTGGCTGTGTTCTGATTGGGTGGAGGTGTGTTCTGATTGGTTAGGGGCGTGGCTGTGCTCTGATTGGCTGGGGGGTTGGCTGTGCTCTGATTGGCTGGCTCTTGGCTGGGGGAGTGTTCTGTTTGGTTGTGCTCAGGTTAGTCTGAGTTGCAGAGGGATTCAAGATTTTGGGCTGCCCTGCCATTCCTTGGCTTCGCGTTCGTGGTCGTGCTTCCTCTTCATGGAGGGTGTCAGTTTGCTTCATGTATGGATTGGGGGGTTTAAAGTGGCTAATGATGCAGCTGTGGTCTGGCTTCTGGTTTGTGGTCGTGCCTCATAGTCAGTGTGGCTTTGGGTTTGTTTTTTGCGTGGATGTTTGGTGGTGACATCCTGTGTGGTTTTTGTGAGTGTGGGTCTGGTATCATTTTTTGTGTTAGGGAGTCGTTTGTCAATGAGGGCGGGTTTCCAAATGGCTGGTAGGCGGGAGGTATCATCTCGCTTGTTCATGCTGTGTGGGCGTTTTTCTATCTCGATGGCTTCTCTGATTATTCTGTTATTAAAATGTTCACTTTTGGCAATGGTTCTGGTATTTTTAAAGTCAATTTCATGTCCTGTAGCTTTAAGGTGTTGGACCAGGGAAGATGTTGGTTCCTCTTTTTTGACTGAGTTCTTATGTTCTTCAATGCGTGCACTTATTCTTCTGTTGGTTTGTCCGATGTATGTGGTGGGACAAGTGGTGCATGGGATTTCGTATACTCCTTGATTTTCTAATTCAATTTTATCTTTGGGGTTTCTAAGGATGGTGGATATTTTTCTGTTTGTGCAGAATGCTGTTTTGATGTTGTGTTTATGGAGGATCTTACTGATTCTGTCTGTGGTGCCTTTTATGTATGGGAGGAGGGCTTTGCCGTTTTCTTGTTCTTTGTCTTGGATTTTAGTGGGGGTTTCTTTTTGGATTAGGTTTGTAATCTTATTTCTATGGAATCCATTGGATGTTAGTACATTGGTGAGAGTGTGTAGTTCGGCACACACTCTCACCAAAGGAAGAAACAGCTAAAACCACACATTGCTGCTCAAAGCAAGAAGCTAAAAACACCAGCCTGAAGATGACGAATGTGACTTCGTCGAAACGTTGCCAAGACACTTCCAATTTTACGTGGGAGAAAACCCGAACAACCAAAGACCTATATACAAATACCCGCGAAAACCTCAGAAAACATATATATATATATATATATATATATATATATATATACACACACACACACACACACACACATTGCTTACTGGTGTACACCGCTTAGAGAGTGCTTGCACTTAAAGCGGTATATAAGTCTCATAAATAAATAAATAAATAAATAAATAAATAGTTCAGAGAATTAGGGAGGGTTGTAATGGGCCATTTCTCAATGTTATCTTGTAGTTCTTGACTTAAAAAATGCTTTAGCCCCTTTTGCCTTGGCAACAGCTCCTTTGTATCTTTTTGGGATATGTTCTGTACTCTCTATAGTAGTGGTTCTCAACCTGTGGGTCGGGACCCCATTTGGGGTCGAACGACCATTTCACGGGGGTCGCCAAACAAGGCTGTCCGCCATTTTTCTCCCCTTTTCTTTGGCCATGCCCCTGGCACCCGGTGATGTATAAGTGGTTGGGGGTCACCACAACATGGGGAACTGTATTATGGGATTGCAGCATTAGAAAGGTTGAGAACCACTGCTCTATAGCATATACTTGTAAATGTATTAATTATTTAGATCATTACTTACTGGCTTTCCATCCAATCCAAGGGGCCCCTAAAAAAAGCAGAGAAGAGTCTTACAGAAAGATATGAATTTGTGGTTTATTTAATTCTGTCTCTTAAAGTTTACCCCCCATATTTAGAGAGTTTATAATAGTTCTGGAAGTGCCATTTAAAGCCAATAATGCAAGATCAACAGGAGAAAATACCCTTGCAGCCTAGGGTGGATCTGCTTGCCCTTACAAAACTTTTCTAACACTGCAACAAAGGTAAATGGCTGATGGAGTTATGACATTAAAAAATGAACAAACCAACAGAATTGGTGTTTTAAAAATGAATGCTTGCCTATAATTATGAGATGAAGAGAATCCATAGGAAATATGTTTCTACACACACATTAATTGCACTGATGTATACAGAGAAGGGGAGACTGTTACTTATTACTAATCAAATCACAATAAACTATCTGTGACATATCAAAACCCATGTTTTCCATAATGGTAATACTATGGATGTACTTGCTTCCTGACAAAATACAGTTTTCCCCCTCTACAATAAAGTTTAAAAGTCATCTTTGAGGCTCGGAAAATATGATATTCTTCCAGCAGAACTGAAGATGTAATAGAAGAACTACAGATTTTGTTCATTAAATCAAAAACAAATGTTCATTCCATGATCATGTGGGACAACCCTCTGTGAATTTTGTTTAGTAAGGTGTTTAATTACCGAGCAATACTTTTTGATTGTTTTCAAACCACAACCCACATCCTTTTTAATACTTTCTCAAATGGAAACCAGTTGGCTCTGTCTTGCAATAATTGCCATCAATATTTTAATAAGTTTTTTAATTTAAGACTGTCCCTCATTATATCCGCTAAGTCAACAATGAATCATCCACTGTAAGAGTTGGACTGCCATTATTTCTCCTAAATCCAAACATTATCCAGACTGAAGAAATAGCACATGATGCTGGTTAATCCATCATCACTGGCACAGATCCAAAGCTTTTATTGTGAAAACAAATAATTGCAATTAAGGAAAAACTGGAAAACGATACTTAGAAAAAAAAGTCATTTATCTCTTTTTCCACTATTTCTTTAATGACTACAAACTCTAAGCACCCTTTCATCTATAAGTAAAAAATAGAGTAGTTAGAGTGTATAAATAGACAGTTATTCTGTACTATATTAACACCAAAATGTTAATGTTTGCTCAATACCTCTTTGCAACCTATTTCCAAGTATGAAGGTAGTTCTTTTGCTTTGCATTCTAGATGATAGGGATACTCACTATATGGCTATCTTCTGCTTGTGCAAGAAACATAGAAGGTGAACAAAGTATGAATCCATAGGCATTTATCATCTGGCTGTAATTGTGGATAGTGAAGAAAGCTGGGAAAACACTACATCTGGGAATGTTGGGATATTAGGCTAAAGCCACAGCCTTTTAATAGAAGTGACAGATGCTGCATATCAGTGAAGAATTAGTTCCAATGTATTTTGAAACACGTGATATATACGTCCTTCTCTGTTTACATGTTCTGATAAAAGTAAAGATAATTTCTCCTCTGAGTCAAACTAGACTCCTGGTGACTTCTAGGAAATAATATGAAAGTGATCTGCTATCGCCTTCCCATTACTTTGTCCTGTTATGATTTTCCAAATTCCCAGTCTAGACCAGTGGTCCCTAACTTTGTGGCTTGGCAGCCCAGTTTGGGGGAGGGAGAGAGGGGAACAGGGCTGCGTGAGTGGCGGGCTGGCACATGTGTGCACACAGCTCCAATTGCACAAGAGAGAAGAGAAGCCTTTGGGGCACAGTCTCTCAGCTTCTTCATGTCAAAAGCTTTCGCAAAGATACGGAAGGCCTGAAGCAGCACAAGATATCTCCCCTGAAGCCTTTCATCCATTTGCAAAAGCTTTTGGCAGGGAGAAGAGAAGCCTTTGGGGGCACATCTTCTGCACCTTCAGAAAAAAAGAGTGCAGAGAAGAGCACAAAGATGATTAGGGGACTGGGGGTTAAAACATATAAAGAACGCTTGCTGGAATTGGGTATGTCTAGTTTAACGAAGAGAAGGATGAGAGGTGACATGATAGCAGTATTCCAATATCTCAGGGGTTGACACATAGAAGAGGGAGTCAAGCTATTCTCCAAAGGCAGGACAAGAAGCAATGGATGGAAAATAACCAAAGAGAGAAACAACCTAAAACTAAGGAGAAATTTCCTGATGCTTACAATGATTAATCAGTGGACTGGAAGTTTTTAAGAAGAGACTGGACAACCATTTGTCTGAAATGGCATAGGGTTTCCTGCCTGAGCAGCGGGTTGAACTAGAAGACCTCCAAGGTTCCTTCCAATATTGTTGTTATTATTGTTGTTATTGTTATTATTATTATTATAGCTAGAGCATTTAATTAATTGATGGATTATTTTCAATTTAGATACTGCCCGACTTCAATTCATTACTCGTAATAAACAATAAAAATACAAAACAATACAAAATAGGATAGGATGCAATTGCTCTACACAAAAACATAGACCAAAATACATCCAATAAGAGGCTCCATCCATCTGGGAGAACAACTGGGTTTCAAGGCCTTCCAGAACTCCAACATAATGGGAGTCACACTGATTTCAGTAGGATTCTTATTTAGAGGGAAAGAACTGTTACAACTGTTGCTGCATCCTCGTGGTTACAAGATAAAAATTTGGACAGTTGGCAACTGGCATGTATTTATGACGGTTGCAGTGTCCTGGGGTCATGTGATCACTTGACTTTCTGATAAGCAAAGTCAATGGGGAAACCAGATTCACTTAGCAGCCATATTACTAATTTAGCAACTGCAATGATTCACTTAATAACTGTGTCAAGAAAGTTTGTAAAATGGGGCAAAACTCACTTAACAAATGTTTTACTTAACAGAAATTTTGGGCTCAGTTGTGGTTGTAGGTCAAGGACTACCTGTATATCGATGTCACACTCAATGCTCATTACTGCCCGTGCCATTACATTCTGGACTAGTTGAAACTTCCAAAGGGTTTCCAAGTCCCATGTGAAGTATTCAAGCTGGGAGGTAACTATGCAGTCCACTTGGACTGTCTGAGACACTGGAGCAGAGATATATTGTTTTATAGTGGTTCTCTGTCTTCCTAAAAGGGCAGTTTTAGTTAGTGGATGTAGGGAAGAAGACAGCTCTAGTGTATATCAATGGCAGCTAAAAAACTATTACTCAGAGGAGTTCTCAGCATCTCACAAGGTAATAAGATAATAGCTTTGCATGTAGACAATTATATCTATAGAAAACAGCTCCTTCATTTGCCTGTTTTAAAATTTCTTCTGCATAAAAAAATGACAATGCTTTGACAATACTTTTTCATGAGTGCTGAAAAGTTCAAGGGATATATTCAAATATTGTGTAGTGAAATACACTCCTATTTTGTGTCTCCCTGAAACTTGTTTACAAGTTCAAATTGTGCTCAAATGCATTCAATTGAATGGAACATGTTTTGGTACAAAATGACTTTTATAATTTATTTATTTAAGTGACTTACAGGCTTCCTTGATCACAACTGCAACTCCAGGTAGCTTTTTGCTTTGTGCCTTTTGAGTCAGTTTTCATTCCTGGTGACTGCCTAAAAAAGTCCCTGCAGATTTTTTGGCAAGATTTTTCAAAAGGGGTTTGCCATTGCCTCCTTCCTATGGCCAAGAGATAAAGACTGGCCCAAGGTCACCCAGGCTGGCTTTGTGCCTAAAATGGGATTAGAACAGCCCTTACCAGGCCTGTTGAACACACATGTGGATTGTGTGGACTTAATGGGAATACTACTCCAAAGTATAGGAACAGAGAAATCCAATTCCTCAAGCCCCACAAGATGGCAGTGCTTTACTGATTAGGCCTGGAGCATGCTGATTCTGCCAATGTCAGCATGGAAAGAATTTTACTAGATGTTACTACTCTTGCAAAGGACTTCAAAATTAAGTTTCAATCAAATTGTGGGTGCAATTTTTTCCTCAATGGCTTCATGTCAACAAACAAAAGATTTAAAAAGCAAAGCCAATCAAAATAATGCCGCCATTCAGCATTCCCAAATAATTTGGAAGCTTCCTTTACTACCATTTCAAACAGTGAAGTCAACTTTAATTAGAACAATGTGGTAATAACATCAACTCATTTGCTGGCATCACTTTGGCTTAGATCAGTTTTTATCAACCATCCAGATGTGAATTCTGCCCTCCCAAAATTCCCAGCCAGATAGAATTCTCCTAACTGAGAGAAGACTGGCTGAGACACAGACCCTTTTCACAATATCAGGCCAACAACATCCATCTGGGATACAGATAGAAGCCGATCCTTTTCTGAGAACTAATATGGACAGTAGGTCAGATATACCTTGGATTTGATCCAGTCACAATCCCCTTTCAGAATAGGTATCTTTTTGAATGAATTTAGATCCATGGCAGACATGTACTAGCTGTATTTAAAATGCTTATGAGGGGATGGCTGTTCTAAAGGGGGATCCATTTGCTAGTAGTCTTTGATCACTACCCTTTTATAGCATCTTGGATAACTGAGAAAGAGAGTGGCAACACTAGACTTGAATACGTAGTCAGAACTACTGCTGCCTTCTGAATGTTGTTGTGGACTGCCCAAAGTTGTGCTCTAAGATAGATGGCCACACAATTTTTTTAAAATTAATAAAATAAAATCCATATAATAAGCTTTAAGAAACATCTTAAAATAAGTATGATGTTAGTTTTCCACTAACATGACGCCTTTCAAATGTGGGAGACTTCAGTTCTCAGACCACCCGGCAAACATATATGTTGAGGAGGAGAATGGTTGAAATCTGCATATCTGAATAACAGTATTCTATGTTACCTGAAATTAAATACTTTCAGAATAAGGGCAAAACCAACTATTATTGTCTCTTGATGATGATGATCGTGGTATTTTTTTTTTTCTATTTAGGGTAGGCAGATTATAATGTTGCTCAAAGAAACTCTGCACCTGGAAGGAGGGAGGGAGGCAGACAGACAGACAAGACAGATGATAAATT